GGACGAACCCGTTCTCAGATACCTATGAGCATAAATTCCGCAATTACGGGATAAGAATGCCTATGTGAATCCGCCGCGAAAGTGGATCTACAGCATGCATGGAGTTTGTGGTGACAGTTTGTTAAGAAAACTAGCTTCGCAAATGGATTTACGCTACTCCTTTACTGCTATCGTCTGCATCGGTGCTGCTGTCCTCCGTTTGGTACTGTCATTATTACTGCGGGACTGTTGGTTAAACCCAAACGCATCTGCACGCTTTGTTATACTCTTAAGTGTTCCGCTGGAAAGCACCGAATATTATGGGCGGATCGCGCGAAAACACTGGATGCGCAAAACGGTTTTCGGTTCTCGGTTTTCGGTTCTCGGACGCTTTATCGGTTTAACCACGAAAACACCCCCCCCCCCGGTCATGCCGGTTGGCCTACCGGCTAGAACGAATAATTTTATAAGGCTGAATTTAATACTCGAGAAACAATGTTCTGCGAATGCAGCATATAGTAAACTTATTTCCAGCTGTTCCCTGCGACCCGGTCCATCTTTTTAGAGAGGGTGGGAGAGGGGGCTTACTAAGGGAAGCCGTATTTCAGGGATAGGTGCAATGCCGATGATTAAAGTAACTGTTACTGGGTAAAGAGTTTCGTAAAACAATAGAAAACAATGTGTGAGAGAGCGCGAAAATAAACGTTACTTATCCTGATTTATAGTTACCAAAGTTTGGTGCTATGTACCGGGTAAACATATAAAGCAGGTATGTATGTACTATGCATGTATCGTAATGTACGATACCTTTCTATTAATTTTATCAGTATGTACTCTGACTGACGGTGCAGATATTACAGTAATTCAGCGTAACAACAACGACTTCGTCCAGAAACAATACGAGTACCCAATGCGGCTCACAGGACAAGTCTTAGAGATGGTAATTTCTGTGACCGTAGGTCACAGAACGAATTTTTTGGCCTTGCCATATGCATTGTTGGTGTGTGTGTATTCGTCGACATGACGTTGTAGGCAGCAATGATAAGAGAATGGCCAGCAATCAAACTCAAGTCAACAGAGCAACGGAGATGGTGCGGATCTGTTTACGTACAGTGCTCACGGAATAGTCACGGATAGAGTGCCCTGAAACCAGCATATTGACTGGAACTGTGACAACTGTATATACCTTTCGACACGGACAGTTCTGCCGCTTTTTCATAACTGACAATATTGACTTTAATTACTTTAAATCAACAAAAGCAACTACTGAAATTATGTTCCTGTGTTAGATTAGCAGGCTGGATCGACGCACAGTTGATCCATTCGGACGTTGCGCACGTACCGTATACAGTACACCAGAGTAACCAGACGATTAAAGATTAAACATCACCGTCAGAAAATTGCATCTCAAGCACATCGTATAGCTTTTCCCTGATTATAAGCCGAGTAATGCCAATAACGTATACTTTTGTGCCAATGCAGGCAAACTTCCAGAGGAAAACATGGCGATGCCACTACTGACAAGCACTGGAGAGCCACCCTGCACCGGCATGTTCTTTCCAGAAGGATCCCGCCAGCATTTTAACGTTCCCAGTCACAAAAGTGGTATTCTAAGGAAAACGACTCAATTTGTGCAAAGGTATGCATGTCGCGCGCTGGATATTGTGGTCTTGCTGGTGGATAAATGGAATCACCATCCGCGTGACATAGACGAAGAAGAATCCAAGGGCGGGTGCAACAGACGGTGGCGCACCGATATGTTATGGTGTTTCATGTACTGTATCCTATCCTCTACATTGGCATGCCTACGGTTCTCCTAGACTACGCTCTGTGGGGCATTACCGCCACCGGGACACCATGTGAGTTCGAGTATTTCGTTTACGATGCCCTGCATATTCATACCATAAGGTATTTCAGTTCTCTCAAATTTTTAGCGGCTTGTTCATATTTTTATTGAGTTGTACTGGGACAGTTTATTAAACTTTTGCGGTACAATACATAGATCAAGCATTTGAACATTACAATTTTTGACAGATTGTATTTGGTAGCTTTTCCTATTCAGTTTTGCTAGGATTCATCTGTTTTTGGGCTCTGCACCACTTGTTTTCTTACACAAAGGTGGTACGATGCTTAAATAAACATACATAGTATATCCCTAATCAAACATGAATAGTAGCAAATCTAAATGAAAAAAAGACAATCAGTATACTTGTATTCTATGTTCACGATTAGATTAAGTATTCATATTATAATGTGCGTTACACTTTATTCAGTAAATTTACAAAGGCTGCGCTTGCTAAAAATCTTCTAACTGAAAATCCTTCCATTTAACATGGGACGGGACACATTACGCGTATATTGGAACTTTTGGATTTACTTCGATGTTCTCTAGAAAGACGTACTTGAACAATATACCATTAAATGTTCTTAGAGCGCTATATTTCTACCACGGTTCAGTTAATGTTTCGTTAAAGGTCAACCTGATGAAAACGGTCAATCTCTTTTTCGAACGGCACAATAACTGTCGAATGGAATGGTGACAGTTTCCAGCCGTCGGCGGCACTGCTAAACGCCACCATTGAGGAACAGCTGAATAACGAGATCAGCGGCGCAACCGATCCACAACAAGTCTTCATGCGCAAATGGTGCTTCCATTTGCACTGTGGTACGAACGTTGCGAACGCTGCCATATGTTTGAGCCAGCATCTACTTGACCAATGTCCACTGCTATGATTTAAGGTGGGGATAAGTCGAAGCAGGGATACTGTCCGCGCTCCCGCATCACCGGATGGAGTGCACCGGCACTGCGGACGCGCGGCATTGGCGCGATGGTCTGTTTCGTGTCAGCCTGGGTTCTGCTGCTGATGTTGGTGACGCTTGCTGGCGGCACCAGTAAACTATCCAAATGCACTTTCGCCCTGGTGCTTGTCGTTCATACCGGTGTGGTAGTGGTCTCCTTCGGGTGCTGCCTTTACTATTACAAACACTGCTACCAGGGAACGTCCCATCAAAGCAGTTTCGCTCCAGTCCACTGGATCGGCTTGTGGTTCGATCCGAGACCTAAGCTGCGCCTCGGCAGGATATAGGAAGGGGCCCAGGATGGAGCATCGCCAGCTAAGAAGAATGGCAAACAAATATTGTGTGCAAACTGAGGGTCTACTGCACCTTCATCCTTACCGATTGTCAGGTGTTAGTGTGCTACTTACAATTATAACGGCAATCACAGTATGAATATTCATTCGGTTAAACATTTACTTATTCTTTTTGTTCAGTATTTATCTCTACTAGATTAAAAAAGCCGCCTGAGAGTGTTCCGCCGTCTCTGTTTGCTGTTTTTAGTCTTCTGATAATAGTTCAAGAGATTACTACTTTTCAGGTTGCGCTTAGCTGCGACTGACAGATTACTTTGAAGTTTGAACGTAATATGTGATACGTCTTCCAGATTGGCTCCTTATCCAGTGAGAACTGATTTAACAAAATTTTTTTCCAGAGGAATTCCAGGTAACAAAATTATGTCCTCCCAGGCAATTTCGTAATAAAGTTAAAGTCATCATTCAAAATATGTATTTCGATTGCACTCCGTGTTAAAAAATAAAAGCCACAGTTAGTTACCTTACCAAGTTTAATGGCAATGCATATGCTACAGTACCGTTATTCGACGATCGTAATAGCTCAGTGCAATTTGATGCTTTGTTCTCCCAGAATACTGACGGGTCGGCCAAGTTTACCTTTGCCGCCCGTATGCCTTTACCTTTACAGTTTGAGTGTACAGAAATTGTGCTTCAAACGCGAATACTGTGAGATCCACAAATCAGTGCACGCTTTCAATTCCACAGTGTATTACAACAGTTTGTTTCTTTTCACGCAATTACTATATACTGTAATTTGCACATACGTAGCACTCGCCATATATTTCAAGCCACACGGCTGAAGCGCTTACAAATTTTATTATGCGCCCTGTAACCAATAATGCCACAACGTTTGTCATGTGTTGGATGTCATGCCGTTGATTAAATAAAAGAACTAATATTCTGAGTTAAGTCTATGTGTGCAAAGTGCAGAAATTGCACAGTTAAATAGTTTGTGACGATATTCTGCCATGCAAAAGGTCATTGGCAACGGTAAAGGTAATTGAGAAGTCTGTTTGGAACGGTTTATTAGAACGGTGAAGGCTTTTGCGATGGCAAAGGTAAACTTGAAAAAGGCAAACTGTAAAGGCAAACGGACGGCAAAGGTAAACTTGGCTGACCCCACTTAGACCTTACATTTCGAACAGTTGCTTACCTACGCGGCTACGCCATGTGTAGCGCAAACAGCGTCGGTGAGAAATTGTTGAACAACGTCGAAGTATACATAAACAAGAAAATACATACGGTGGACTATATCCTCCAGGGATGCTCATACATGGTATTCATGACCTTGTACAACTTTGAATACACCTTAATGGTGGATAGTGCATACTTACCGTAAATGCATTACAACGATTTTTGAGGCAAGTACAATCCCAACAAAGAGAATTCACTGTTTTGCATATCTTTAGCAAAATTTTTGTAATCACTTAGGAGCTTCAGGAATAATCGAAACTGGAGAGGAAACAATAGTACGAGGGCACATTCCCCTAGCCCTTTTAAAAGACCACGGTAAAATACTAGGTTCGTATCTGTTGCTGCGTCGGCAACGTCTAGTACATTTGGCATGCGCGGTTTAGTTCCGTGCCCAGTCGAATTCAGTCCTTGGTTTCGCCAACTTCATTCTTTTCCTTGTTGAAAGCCTGAATGGCGAGTTTCAGCTGACAAGTTTAAATTATGGTTAGTACTATTTATGAGTACAAGACTGTTTTGTCTGCTAACGTCCTGAACACTGGCAACATTAGAGTACCACTTGACTCGGAAAAAAACGGGAAAAATTACTAAACTCCGAAATTACAAAGACACGCAGTGCGGTCGGTCGATAGCGCAGACCAGTTCAGAATTGCAGCGATCCAGGACAACGTGCGCAGAAAACAATTTATTCGTTCTTACCGCTTGGAATGAGTGTTCGACCAGCAGAACTTTCTCCAATTCAGTGGCTAGTCGGGCCTCTTGATGGCTTGCGGCATTATCTGTGCATTTCACATGAAGAACCGTAAGTTAACACAGCAATACTCGGCCCAATGAAAGGTGAAAATCGGCAAGCACACTTTAACAGAATCTAATGTGCCGCATGTCAATTTACCAGCACATTCCATAAACTTGGGATACAGTTCCACTGTCTGAATACGCAGTCCTTCGTGCTGTGCGAAGCCCAGAGCACGCAGCGAATCAGCAGCACCGATGGCACCATGGAACGCTGCGGCTGCCTTACTCTTCCACGTGGAAATCTGTGCTGCCGCGTCGGCGAATTCTACGAGCGAAACTCTCTTATTCTCTATGTAAGATTTTCAAACAGAGGGACCAATCGAGAAACAATACAGCTGTAAGCAAATGTCGTGACGTGAAGCAGCGTTGTGCTTTTTAATTCTGTGATGCATGGCGTCTCCCAAAGTGCGATAAATTCAAATCCAGAGAGGCCGACCACGAACCGGGCCTCCGCGAGCTGGGCATAATCAGATATACCGCGAGCACGAAGTGCTAGGGTGCAAATAAAGCTGATCGAAAAGTTGAAAAACTACTAGCACACGCCCTCCCAGCCCGTAAACCAGGGGGTATGGATACACTAGATGTAGTAGATTTACCGTAGCTGCAAAGAAGATCGTAAGCACACCTACCATTTTGCGCCAGCTGGAGCATATTAGCGAAGTGGCGCTCCTGTTCGGCTGCAGACTGTTTGAGGAGCTCCTCCACATCTGGAGAAAATCGCTGCGTGCCAGTAGTTCCAGTCATTAGGGCGTTTACAGCTTCAAGACAATGGATCACTATCTCCGGGATTGGTGTTTTCGACTTAATATGGTCCACGTACTCTGTAACGTAGATTCGTCGTAGACACATAACAATCCTGCATACTCGCCCACATGAGAATTGAGCACAGACAAATCGGAAAGTCCATGGAGAACTGCCATGCCATGATGCCACCGATGGCTCGCAAGAAATTTTCGCCAAACTTACGGGAAGCTGATTTTACGCAGTCAGCCAGGATATCAATGTTGGTCCCGACTTCTCGCCACAGACCGTTCACGCTCTTGGCTGGGGAATGGCTGCACGATGATGTCATGCTCGGTCTGTTGAAGTTCGTTCCCAAATATCCGCAAAATGTCAGATGTCACAAGCTAAAGAAAGTATTCGCTGTGTCACAATGTCGGACATTGTGACACAGATACTTAATAGCAACAAAAATATAAACGGCAAAATCTACCAACAGTCAAAAAACATGAAAAGCGTTGACTTTGCTAGTTCAGTCAGGTTTTATTCTCCGTTTTAGACAGATCCAGAAATTCAGAGCCTGACAAGTGAGAGGCGAGAGCGCTGTCAGAAGAGAACACGTACATGTAACGTAGTAAGTACTGTACTAATACCTGTTGCCGATGCCCTGATTGAGCAGTTATTGTACTACTTCCAGCGCTTAAGGGCTGAGCGCTGAGGCTGGAAGTGTGGCTTTTGTCTGACCATTTCACTCAGGCTCTTCTATGAAACTCGGGTAGGAATTAAAATAATGTAACTTGTTCTTCCCTACAGATTCTGTATTTTGACGTATCTGATCATTGTCCACTGCTGTACACGGGAAGCTCCATCGCACAAAGACATTAAATTCACCATTGCTATTCATTTTTGTATGAAGAGGTGACCCCTGCCGTGTGCTATTTGTATCCCGCAAAGTTGCAAACTACTAACATGACATTTGACATAGTGCGACGCAATATGGTAGACTTGCACGAAATTGAAAATGATCCAACATTATTGAAAAATTACGAAAACGAAAATCCGGCCGTTACATGCTGACTACAGTCATGCATAAAGGCAAGCATAATCATCCCGCATGTCCTTTCCGGGTGCTCTCACTGGCCGACACTGCAGACGATAACGAAGTACCGTATGTAGATAAAACTCGGAACCATTAGCTCTGGTGGAAACAGCACACGAGTGCCGAATTTCGCGCCTCTATGCTTTGAATAGAATCTTTAATACAGGTTCCAAAATAGCACGAAAAAGGTAGTAATTACCAGGCTAGGCGACATTGCCAAGGCCCAAGAGTACCGGTAACCGAGCCACTCACGATACCTGATGTAGTCTTAAACCACTTTCCGAGTAAACGGTCCCCATACATTACACGATTATCTTAAAATAATAAAGGTTTACCGTATTTAATGGGATACAACAGAAAATAATTTGGAATTCTCAAGTGCATTCGAATGTACGCAAGGAATTACAGATCACAGTTATGTCAGCCAGTACAGTTGAACCAGCTACATCCAAATATTTTTATTAAACAAACTGCGCTGTGTAACCTTTGCCTAGTTTAGTTTGTCAACGTACCATAATGCACATTAATTCCAATAAAATAATTCAAAGTTTTTGCAGATTCGTTTTCCTGTACCAACCAGCATTCAAATTATATATACAAGCACACTGTATACCGAAATACAAGGAGTGCAAGAAAATAATTACTGTGCATAAATGGCTGTCAGCATATTACCTGGATAGTTCTGCTCAAGATTTCTCGGGATAAACAACGTAGAAATATTCCACTGCTAAGTAGCATGTGTTCAACAAATTCTACCATTACGTACTTCAGTACGAATACATAACAATATCATAAAAATTTGCAGCTGTGTGTCCGCAGCTAGTCACGGCTTAACTTACCGGACTATACCTATGGCGGCGGCACCGACTTTTAGCCGTCGTTTACAATAAAATACTGTGCTGATTCCTAACAACGTAAGTACTCGTTATGCTGAACCTCGCATTCGCTGCACTGAGCATTGAAGGACGCTATAAATTTGACAATAAAATGCATTTGTAATACAATCATAAGTGGAAACAATACAACTAAAATTTATGCTATTGTAAGTTAACTTTAAATTCGTTTTAATTAATGTGCTTTGTAGTATGTACTGTACATGCAATTATGGTAGTCTGTCTGCTGCTACACGGTAGCGGTGTCTGCTGTTCAAGTGCAGATACCGCAGCTGTATATCTGACAAACAAGCAATTCCCGTTCCAAACCAAACCTATAGCATGCAGCGCAAATCGGCTGAACAAGTGAGCTAAAACGAACGTAACACTTGCTTTGCGAAGCCAGCTTGACCAGACCAGCGCGCTGGACGTATCGATTGGAGTGGGTCAATATCGATCCGCCAGTCCTGCACTTTGCTCATTGTGTGCGCATTTTATAAAGAGCTTAAATCCCACAATTTTGTCAAACACGTAAATAGAGTTAACTGAGAATATTTTTGGAGCTTTTGGCTATCAGTTTGCTCCATGTTGTTGAAGCCCGTTTTTATCAGCTGTTGATACCTCTAATTATACCATACTCTTATTGTAATTGGGGCAAGGGAGCCCAGTATAAAATTTGTCAACTATTGCTTAACTATTAATTAGTGATGGATGCGGCAGAATCCACGTGTATCAGCATGGATGTCTCAACAAACGAAGAAGACAAGCTAACGGGAAAGCGCGAAGAACCTCAAGTGCCTTCGCTGGGAAGGGCTGCTCCTACCAGGTCCAGCAAGCGTAATTATGGTGAGCGGAGCCACCGTAGACGTTTTATCATATGTTTTCCCACACTTTGGGACCGCGTTATCACTGTCAACTATCTCACGACCATCAACACGGGGCTTTTCCTACTCAGGTTCACCTTGATCACCGCTGCTACGTTATCCGGCAAACATTTTGCGCACTTCCGCGTGGTAAATTTTGTAGAATACACACAGTTTTGTAATACACGTGCATAGAATTTCGTAACTTGCACTTCGAATATTAAAAGTCAAGGCTTCGTTGGTATCGAGATTTCTTAAACTGTACATGTGACCAGTAGCCGTAAAATGCATCATCATTTGACGTTTGCTTTAGGGCGGAGAAAAAAGCACCGGGGTTGGTGGCTTCCTTCTCGTGGTCATGCTAGCCCCTTCCGTTGGTTTTGGACCGTTTATAATCTTCTCCCAGATCTGTGCCGTTATGCTCCTACACCTCATGCGAAACTTTATCGCAAAGTCTACAAAAAGCACTTTTGATGCGTCAACCGTTCGGCGCCTCGACATATGCCGGTTACTGCGCACCGGCATCCGAATCAGCTGGTATCTTCCACTTGTACAAGTTGCCCTTACGATTTACTCCAACATGACGTACCGTTTCTTCGGTGATGTCCTGGAGGGTCAGACGCTCATCCTGCTGCCAATCCTCATCACAGAGACAATCACTTCTGCTGTGTGCTTTTACTGCCAACGGGAATCCTCAAATCTGGGGGCGACCATTGTGACGTTATGGCGCTTCCGAGCGGTATTGCTCCAGGCGAAATCTTCTGGGAAGAATTTTAGGAACAAGAAAACTTAAGCGGAAGTTCTAAAATCTATCCATGATTTTTTTAAGAGCTGACCACGATTTAGTACTGCGCTGTTCATTTTACACACTTTTAAGAGGGATGAAACTTCGAGTAGACCACCGGGATAATCCACCGTTTCGGCTTTGGAAGACGGACACTGGGTCTGGTTGCTAGTACGTACATGCCACACGACACAAAGAGACTGAGCATGTTGAAAACTGAAATAAATAGCCAATTTAAAATAGTCGCTTGTATGGTGTTTCATTTGCTGTAGCACACCGGGGATCCCCGCGAAATGTCAATTTTACTAAGGAGATTTTTGCCGTGAATCTCCTTGCCGGCCTATCAATAACAATAAATGTGGACATTTGTTAGACTAAACATCACTGTGTGCCATTTATAGAAAACGCATGGAATTTAAAACAAATCATTAATTTAATTTCCCTTGTCTAACGTGTAAGAATCGCTTAGAAATCCACCTGCGCTGCGAAATGACTTTTAGTGAGTTGTTAGCGAGTCACTTTAACGCAAGAATGTAACTGAAAGGAGAACTTAAACAAGAGTTTGTTTAAAAGTGCTCTGATGACTGCTAAGCGTGATCAATACCCGTGGAAGGGCTTTGTACATATGTACCGTAATTTCATCATGATTATTATTATGGATCATATCAGCAGCGTTCAGTGGTTTCCTGGACAAGACAGGACATCGCTTAATTGAACCATAGCTAGCCAACGCCAGTAATATCGATTTTTCCCGTATGGTAGCACGGCAGTGACCTGATTTTGAATCACGCTTGGCTCATATACGGGTAGGGTACATACGAACATCCGTGCATATTCACAGTGCAGCAAAGCTAAACATACATGCCTACAAACGGGGTCCGATGACGATGCTGAAATTATAAGGGAGTCGACTAATGCATATCAAAAATATTACAGACCATTCTTCCACACCGTGCTTCCAGCGATCTATCGGTGAATGCCATCTACTAGCTGGTATCAGTTCTAATTATCCTTTACGTTTCCTGCCCTCTAATCACCAGTAAATGGCAAAGAGCGGCGAAAGCGTGATACCTCTGGAGACCCGGTTCAATGCTTCACGGCAGTCGCGAGATGGGGATCTTCCGAGCGAAAATCATGGAAACAACTGGCGCTACATTGTCACCGAAGAAACCTGGAAATATGCCGTGATTATGGCAACTGGAGCAAGATTATGGCTGTACAAAACGTGCTCCGCGCTTTCATGGTGGCATTCGCACTTTACAATGAAAGCGTCAAGACAAAACCGGACTGGGAATGATGCAGCAGAGGAATATCTTATCAAGTAGAAGCCTTCGCGCCAATTCGGCGCTGGTAGATACCGTACATTATCTACAAATGACCCCAAGTGAATGTTTTTCGTAAGGACGGAGTTTTCTTTCGACGAGGGCATTTGATTTTGGGAGGGTAATTAATTAGCCAAGTCTGTCTGATGGGCGTTTCGTATAAGTTTTTATTTGATCTTTTAAAGCTACGAGAAGAACTTATGTAATATTTCCCTCCGTAAAGTAGCGACAAGTGCAATGATTATAAAGCAGTGCATTGCTGCACGCTGTTATTATTTTTGTTCCTACCACTTTTTACTGCAGTAGCCTTGATTTTGTATTTCATTGCGGGTTAATTATAATTCATAAGTTGATAACGATACGTCTTGAGAATTTTTTTTCGGGGTGGGCTTCTAAACCGAGGAGGACATTAAGTGGTAAAATAGGGTACTTCGGAAATACATAAATATTCTCGGCTCTACAGAGGCGGTTTTTATTTGCATTACGGCTGTCTAAAATAGCATTCATGGTTAGTGCTGGGTGGGATTTTTCACACGCAAGTACGAACTGCAGCCTTGAGCTGTGTATCTGTAGTGTACAACCGTTTTTTCGTTAAATATCTTGTCGCCAGAATTTTGCGATTGAAGATTTTGAAGGAAACTACCGTAAGTCATGTTTTGAATTTTACCTGGTCTCTAGAACCAGGGAATAGACAAATTTGTGTTATATCCTTGTACAATGACTATCAAGTCAATTAAAATTATTGCAGCCGGGAAAACGTGCCTTTAAAAGCTACTCACCTAGCGTGGTGCTCATGCCTGCCCTTTGGATTTTGCTGTCCTTGCCGGCCATTGTTATTATGGTGAAAACCCGCTTTCTGCGGACTTTGATAAAGAAATTCCGTCGTGCAATCTCGACTTCCCATGTGGACCTATATGCATTCACAATATCCTCCGCCAAATGGGTAACCATATGTAACGATCTAGTCAAGGTCGGGGACATGTATATTCATGCGATCTCAATGTCAGTGACCGCGGTGCCTGTCTTCCTGATCTTTCGGTATGTTTATGCTGTTGCCTTTGATCAAGCCCTGTACGTGGCCTTCGACTACATCTGGGGACCCATGTTGGCGATGGACACTGTTATTTTCGTCAGTGGATGGCAGTTCTTTTTAACATTAATACGCTTACGGATTGCTGTTGCCATAGTGTGCGATAAGCAGCATGTCACTGATCAACAAACCGAACTGCCGGAGCTGCGCTCCGCGGAAAGCGTGATAGACAAGCTCCAGGCCACGGCATTGGAATACAATGCCGAAATGCAGTGGCGGTCACGATGAAGCGCAGTGTGTGTATCAGTACAACTGTACACGTTCAGGTAAGTAGCCTGCAGTGTCTTTTTTGCATCTACTTATTAATTTTTAGAAAGAAATTGATTCTGTCCACGGCCAAGATGCCGTAGGTAAAATGTAGGACAAAACGACTACAAATTTTAACTTCCATAATCACTGGTATCCTTTAATACGTTTGCGGCTGTGTTTTCATTATTGGGATTGCTAGCGACACTTCCGTTTGGGAGAGCTTGTAATACAACTAAAAATAGCACAATTAAATAATAAGTACTTAATCAAGAATTGGTGCAAAATTGCAATACATCGCAAGCGGCATTGTTGTGCTAACCCGTAATGCACGGTACATGACGCACGTACCTAACGTACACACCAGTACCTAAGCACTATAGTCCTAAATAAGTAGCATAAGCTACTAATATCGCAATATGCTATGCTAATATAAATGCAATGACGGATCGGAGTTTTAGGAAACCAAAAATTTGACTGACAGTGTCTGACACGAACCTGTAAAATGTAATTGCATGTTCTTTTAAACAGAAACGTGTACAGCAGTCTGGTTAATATAGTTAATTTTCAAAACATTTCACTTCCCGATCTTTTATCCTGATCTTTTATTTGCGCATACATTACCCTTGACGGAGCATCTTCCATAAATACCTGCTTGTTTATCTCCAAAATTCAAAGACCTACAGATTAAATGCTACATTATATTAATTTTTGGTAAAAGAAAAGTATTGTAGCCGTAGAATCATGTTCTACAGATTGTCATTGGTAACAACTCAACCGGAAACAGATGTACCGCCTATCTCAGTAGAATTGTGAATCCATGTTATCGGTTGTGAAGAATTCTGAGATGTTCTGACTTTTCTGGATGTGAAATCAGTAGACGTGCTCACGCTGCCTCGACCGGCAGACGGTTGACTTTCCCACATGTTCTTGCTCTTGCCCTTGCTCTTGCACTTGCTCTGATTCTGATTAAATTGATGATGATGTTCCTGAATTCGCGCGTTACGTAAGATTGTGATTTACTTAAGATCTGGGTAATTACCGACGAACCATCGAACCTCGTTTTATCGTGGTACGGGTGGATTAACCCAACCCACTAGGGGCAGCTTAGAAGTTGCCATTGCAGTATTGTACGACGATGACTGTAGCGCACCTAGAGATGTTAAAAAATTTGGTTCGGAGCACATGCAGTTATCTAGTTGTGCTTGAATTTCAATAGAAATGCTGCACCGGAACCGCTTGCCCCGTGCTTGGCTGGGAACAGCACGATGCAGGAATACTCGTATCGATTTTTCTGTGCAGTGACAGCATGCGCTGACACGAAGTAAAATGAAGCTTGATTCAAGCACATCTTTACATAAAACTGAGAAAAATATCCCTGATACAGTATAGCTTTCTTTTCTTGCAGGCGATATGCCCATAATTCATATCGTGGCCCCTTGCCTCGTATAAAACACGACTAAGCAATAATTTTCTCATTTTATTATCGACCGTCCGGAGTTATCCTGCTAGAGTTGGCACTGCATGCTTTATCGCTGATACTTAACATTTCCTGCTGTTAATCCCAGATAAATGGCAAACAGCGACGAAGGTGAGTCTTCTCCGGACCTGTCCATCACGTCACGGCAGTCCAAGGATCAGAATGTTCCGAACAATAATCGCGGAAGCAATTGGCGCCATGCTGTCACCGAGGAAACCTGGAAATGTACCGTTACCTTGGCCAAATGGGCCACAATTATTTTTATACAAGGCTTCTTCCGTGCTTTCATAGTGATATTCGCTTTCTACACGGAAAGTGTCAAGACAAAACCGGACTGGGTACGATTTAGCAAGATAATCCGATTTAATAGACAACTCAAGCCAGCATTTGGTCCGTAAATAACTATATCCACTGTCACAGCAGGCAGCTTTTTACTTTACAATATTGTAATATCGCTTATGGTCTCTTAAATATGACGCGCTATGCCGACAAATGCTGGCAAGATGGATGTTTTCTAACTTTGAACCGAGCCGCTAGCTATGTACAGTATGTGCAAACAATCTAGGACATTATTAATTTTTCATTCCGCCGTACCGTCAGACTAATGAATCAGCTGATAACAGTTTTATTAACAGAAGTCGACAGGATAAAATGAACAGGATAAAATATTAGACAGGCAACATTGAACAGTCGACAGGATAAAATTAACATGGGTCTTAACTCGGAGAACTGATTTTAGGGCGATATGCATCTCCTTGACTGTCGCATGCGTGCCTTATGTACGGTCGCAGAATCTTGACTGGGCTTTATTTATTTACCGGTAGGCGTTAGTTTGTGGCGGAATGATAATGTTATGGTTCTAATGGTAAACTGTATGGGCAGTCGCATGGGTAGACCGCTGCAATGGGTGGACCGCTAAACCGTCGCAATGTGCAAAAAAGGGTTCAGCAACTCTTCACCGACGCAAACAGCAAAGTAGGCTATGGATTTTTTTTTACGTTTCCGTGGCGCGTTTCTATGGTTTGTTCTTAGCATACTTCACTCATATTTCACTCACCTTGCCGGTATTTTTCGGTTAAAAAACGCGGTATATACAAAAACCATAGCTGTTTTTTTTCGAGAAGAGAAGCAGGGAATAAATAAAGTACGACTGTGGAAAATAATAAACGTCTATCTAACAATTATTGCAGCCTGGAAAACATACCTTAAGAGGCAACATTGTTTACGCGCCGGCCATGTGTCTGCCCTATTTGTTCCTGTGCACGCCGGCCATTGGCACCATAGTCAAAACCCTTTCTCTGCGGACCATGGTAAAAGAATTCCGTAGCACAATCCCGACTGCACAGAAGGATCAACACGCGTTCACGATATCCTCTGCCAAATGGGCGAACACGTGCTATAAAATAGCACCTATTGCCGCAGTTAATTGCAAATTGGTGCCGGTTGCATCAGTGATCGGTGTGCTTATCTATCGAATCCTTCGGTATGTTTTCGCTGTTTACCTCGATCTATCCATGTTAGCTGGCTACGATCGCATCCAGGGCCTCATGGTGTTTTTGGACACGGCTACTTACATCACGGGATGGCACTATCTGTTGGCACTAGAGCACTTTCGCGTCGCTGTGGCCAGGACGTGGTATAAACAAGAGGTCACTGCTATGGAGACCGACCAACACGAGCTGCCATCTGTGGGTATCATGTTGAAGAGGCTGTGGACAGTCGCAGGAGCCGGCGCGCCATAAAAAGCTTTTCGGCTTTTTTCGGCTGCCCTTATGAGGCTCATCATGTATCAAGAGCATCGCATCCAACCGACAATCACGACAGAACTGCATTGTGCATGGAGCGAAAATAGTTTTAACATTACAAATAAAGTGAATTGCTATATTTCAAAGCTGAATTTGTCATAAAAAGAAGTATTGTTGTAAAATGATCCTTAAAGAAATGCATAACTGTCATTCGCGGAAATTTATCAAATTTAGAAACTGCGATCCGCCATTCGACAACCCAGACTAACTGGCAAGCGGCGGATAGAAACAACCGCTGGCTTTTTTATGTGGCAGTGTAAAAAGAGCAGTTTGACCTAGGGTTGAAATTCATGAGTCTTTGAACCGTTTGTGAAAGGAAATGAAATGAAATTGAGATGAAAGGAAATGAAATGAAACATGAAATAAAAAAATCGAATATTTTTGCTTTTCTTATGGTTGCAAAATCATAGTGCGTTTAGTCTAACGGTTTAAGTTTTCGGGATTCTGAAGTTACCTGTGCAACAAAAGCATACGGAAAACGTGTTTTTCTCTTTAAAAGCTCCATTACTTTAATGGTTACACAAGAATTACACCAGTTTTCATATTTTTTTTCATGAAATATTGTGAATCCCGCTAATTTCACTCACTGTTATTTCATTTCATGCAATTTCATAATTTCTTCATTTCATGCGGTTTCACATTTCATTTCATTTCATTTTCACATTTCACGCGGGGGTCCGCATGATTATGAAATGAAAAGGAAATGAAGAAGGAAATGTGAAATCATGAAAGCATGATTTCAACCCTAGTTTGACTTTGACTTTGACTTTGACTTTAACTTTGACTTGAGTTTGACCACTGAGCAAATGTTTTCTTCATGTTTCGGTCTGTGCAATTGCTGGCTTGTGATTTAAGACTTTACCAGTTCAGCTGTATAATAAAATTCATCGCCAGTACTCGAAACATATTACTTAAAAACTGAAGGAAAGGAAGTACCGGTATACGTACATCAATCAGTGCATGCCATGCGTTGGCGCATTACTGCTTCAAAAGACATTTAACCGGCAGGGTACAAACAGCCATACGTTGCACCGACAAAATGAATACAATTTACACAACTACAGAGTACGTACACAAGTACAAACCAAACAAACCTTTCAGGCTTTCTGCAGTACTTGTATATTGCTCATAGTTTTAACTAAGTACACTGCAGCTGGTGGAAATATAATGCGAAATATGCAACGTGTTTATGAATGCTGTTTCCCATCTGTTTGTTGCTGCTGCCGGCGGCGATAGGCGTCCCAAAGCAGCTTCAAGATGGCGTCCGACAACGGCATTGGGTACAGTTCTCTCGGCTTCACCGCTTCTTCATACCAGTTCGTCATATGAGGGACCGTTGACGCCGACCATTGACCGCAACAGACAACCCGTAACAAAATTGATCATTTCGGTTAGTAGAAATGGTACCAGCACCAGTTACTCTGTGCTTCCATTGGATACGTGTGCTCGGAAGCGTCCAATGTACAGCAGGAAATATGTTGGATAACCGCAATGATAGCCTCAAGAACCGACACAGCCATACTCCCATATTCGCTGCTGAAACGCAGATCACGAAACGATTTATCACTTTCTGTGTTACCGGCAGGTATTAATCTATAAAGTAAGAATGATAATTTGGCCGAACATACCAAATCGAATTCCAGGTTGCTTTGCTGCGCACAAGATACATAGCGAACAACAGTACACTGAAACGGAGAGGTTCAGTGCAGCGCGCGATGGCAATAGTGAGATGAGCCCCTTTAATCACACCGTTCCAGGTTTCCTGGGTGAGTGCACAGTGCCAGTTCTTCCCGTGGTCGAATCCTCGTGCAGTATACGTATTCAAATCTGCATGTTTCCGTGGCTGCGCGGGGTGGTTAGCGTGAATTTCGGATTGGCCGTTTTCCATTTTTATATCGTTTGTACTGCAGATACCGTAATTATCGAATTTGCACCTCCCCCCATAATAAGGCCCCCTCCGCAATAAGCCCCCCTCCCGTAACCCGTTTGAAAAATAGCGCCTCCCCCCGAATTTACCGCCCCGGGGGCATTAATAAATGTTGAGCGCCACAAAATCATAGAAAGACCGCAAAATGCTTCATAATAATAATATATGATCGTTTCTCCTACACTATACGTAACGGAGAATACCGCCAAATCCCATCAATGATCTTTACTGTAGCCGCACACGATAGATAATGATTCGCTCAATCACAACTTCATCATGGCGCTGAGAAATCAGCATAGAAAACAGACGTCTTTAGACACAGATAGCTACGTGAAGATAGTTCACAACAATTGCATAAACGCCGGATTACGCCGGTGAGCAACACTGTATACATGACTATGCGTCACACAGCACTCCCGTTCTTAAGTTTGAAGCACGGCGAAAACCAATCACTTTGAGAAACGGAACATAACGTGAACGATTTGATGACTGTAATGAAGGAAAACGCTATATAAAAATTACATGAAAAGAAGAGGTGCAAGCGTTAAGGCAAGGCATTACGGCGAGGGTTCCCGTAGGGTCCGGTTACGAAGTGTCCGGATAACGGGGCGTATGGTTTCGTCGACGAGCTCGTCCGGTTTCCTGGCAGGACGACGAGGTTCGGTGACGCAGTCCCGTTCAATTTTCACGCGCAGCTCGGGATCCACGTCCTCGACGGGAATGTCCCACTGTGAATCAGTGTCACCCATTAAATCCAAATCAGACAGAGGCTCCGTGAACAGTTTTAGTCTCTTTACGTGGACAACAAGAGTGTTTTTACCACGTTTTTTAGTACGCACAGACTGGATCTCGTAGTTAAGCTTTGATTTACGGCTAACCACTTTGTACGGTCCAAAGTAATGTGCGATTAATTTTGGAGACAAACCAACAGGAGTTACCGGCGTATACAATAACACCAAATCACCGATTTGGAATTCACGCGGTTCTCTTTTGATATTGCCGGTCAACATATAACCAGCTTGGACATTCTCAATATTAGCTTTTGCAACATCACTAGCCAGTTTAAGACGCTCAACGAGAGCCTGACTGTATTCGTGCATGTTATTCAAATTGTTATTCGGAAGTGCACCAAGCTGTGCGTCCATGACTGAACGGCACTCACGCCCGTACAACAAATAAAATGGTGTTTTATTTGTCGAGGCTTGCTTACTGGTGTTGTAAGCTGTAGTGACATATGGGAGATGTAGGTCCCAATCTTTTTGATTATCACTGACATACAGGCTAAGCATAACGGCTAAAGTTTTATTGAACCGCTCAGTCAATCCATTACACTGTGGATTGTACGCTGTTGTGTTCAGATGCCGCGTTTGACATAGCACTAGAACTTCCTGAACTACATCTGACAGAAATGGACCACCTTGGTCACTCAAAATTCTTGACCGCGCACCGTGACGCAATATTACTTGATGCACCAAGAAATTAGCAACTGCAATAGCGGTCTGCGCCGGAATAGCTTTTGTTTCCACATATTTTGTCAAATAGTCAGTACAGACTATGACATACCGGTTGCCTTTAGCGGTACGGGGAACAGGACCAAAAACATCCACTCCCACCATCTCGAATGCAGTGCCCACTGGAATTGGTTCAATAAGACCACCGGGTTTATCAGTTGGGACTTTACGAAGTTGACATTGTCGACAGCCGCGTATGTACTTACGCACATGATCACGCATGCGCGGCCAAAAGTAGCGCTGACGCACACGAGTATACGTGCGCCAAAATCCCAAATGACCGGATGTACGCTCGTCATGACAAGAAAACAATATGTCACGTCGCAAATGTTTTGGTACTACGAGGAGCAGTACGTATTCCCCGTCAACTAACGCTTTGCGATACAACAAGTTGTTTTTCATGGTATAACACACAGTGTCGCGAGACACCACACCGGTTGCCAACTTGTCAATCACATCACACAGTCGTGGGTCTTGTACCTGTTCATAGTGGAAATCTGGAGTGTCGGTCATGGCTACTAACATGTCCATTTCGACATCAGCACTATCAGCTGGTTCGACGGGATGTCGCGATAGCGCATCCGCATTCTGGTGACGTTTGCCGCTACGGTATACAATTTCAAAATTGTATTCTTGTAACAAGACCGCCCACCTGCTCAGACGACCGGCTAATTCACGCCGGCTCATAAGCCAACACAGTGCACAGTGGTCTGTCACAATGCGAAACATCTTACCAAACAAATAAGGTCGTAACTTTTTAACCGACCAAACAATTGCCAGACACTCTTGTTCAGTGACCGCATAATTACGTTCTGCGGGACTGAAACTTTTGCTAACGTACGCCAACACCCGTTCGCAGTCACCCAGTTTAGATACTAAACATGCGCCTATTCCAAGGCCGCTAGCATCGCAGTGTAGCTCGATCTCAGCATTTGGATCATAATGAGCTAAAATCGGCGAACTAATTAGTGCGTGTTTGAGTTTTTCGAAAGCAACCATCTGTTCGGAAGACCACACAAACGGTTCGGTTTTTCTCGTTAACCGTACCAGCGGTTCCGATAGACCGGCAAAATCCCGTACAAACCGACGAAAATACGAACAAAGTCCCAAGAACGACTTTATGTCCGTGACATTTTCTGGTACTGGATAATCTGCGATTGCCAACAGTTTATCGGGATCGGGACTAATACCATTACGGTCAACGACATGACCAAGGTATTTGGTGCAATCGGACGCGAAAACACACTTTGATGGTTTAAGCACAATACCTGCGTGGCGAAGCTTGCGCAGTACGGCATCAAGGTGCTCCATGTGCTCTTCAAACGTCTTCGAATAGATGAGTACATCATCTATGTACACTATAACAAACTGCCATCTGAATTCATTCAGTATTTTGTCCATTGACCTTTGAAAGGTCGCCCCGGCGTTACACAAGCCGAAGGGCATACGGCTGAATTCATATAAGCCGTCAGGCGTCACAAAAGCGGTACGGTCCTTGCTGGACTCCGCTACGGGGATCTGCCAGTATCCCCACGCCATATCTAAGGAAGTAAAATAAGCGCACCCACCTAACTGATCAAGCGCGTCGTCCAAGCGAGGCATTGGGTACACGTCCTTCTTGGTAACAGCATTGACCCGGCGATAATCAACACAAAACCTCGTTGTGCCGTCTCGCTTGTGTACGAGTACAATGGGAGACGACCACGGGCTACAGGATGGGGTCACAATGCCTTGGCGGAGCATTTTATCAACTTCTGTGCGAATGACAATACGCTCGGCCCACGAGCGTCGGTAAGGAGGTTGGGACACTGGCAATGCACTGCCTGTGTCTATGACATGCGAAACTCCTTTTACTTCGCCAATAGGGCGTTCAGCAGTGGGAAACACGCTTACGTGTTTGCGCAACACAGCGTGCAACTGTTCAGTTTGATCGGCAGTTAAATTTTCACCACACTGAATTTCTGGGAGTTCACACGTTTCAACCACCGAGCACTCTGGAACGCGGTCAACATACATTGGTGTCGCAGACGCATTATTCTGACCCTTACCGATTGTTTGGGTCATGCGAGAGAAATTTGCACACGCCAAATAACACACATTGTTGACAATTTTGACTAGCGCGTTTGATGTACGTAACCCTTTTTGAGCGAACATGTTAGCGTTTGGGGAAACTATAAACTCCATATTTTCTGGTTTTACACGGCCAGGAAATAGATTACGGTTTAGTTGACATTTCACCCAAGCTACGTGACCAGCGGGAATGTGCACTTTGCGACTTGCAACAAGATTCCGCGCTTTCCATGGCCTGAACTGTTCGCCATCACGTTCATCAAAGCGCCGTATAGTACGACCGGCATAATCAATTACTAGATCTGTTCGCATTAGAAAATCATTACCGACCAATAATTCACGATCGTACGTGTCTAGCACAAGCACGTTAATTTGGTGCGAACAGTTTGCCAATAACACATCAACACAAACAGTGCCGACAGGCGATATCAATTTGCCACTAACACCTTTAACGGGCCGCCCGGTATATGACTGAATACACAGATCTAACATCTGTGCACAGTGCACACTCATAATCGTAACAGCGGAGCCGGTGTCAATCACAGCAGGCACGGCCATACCATTAACATATGCCGTAGTGCAAACTGGAGCCGGAACAGTTGAATCGTCATTTGGTTCTTCTATCGGAAGTGCATCGAAAGGAAAACCAGCAAAATCAGGGGGATCAGACGTATGAGCAGCTAAACCCCTGTACTTAGCTACTCTCTGGAGTTTAAATTTCCCTCACCTTCCGACGGCAGAGCATTTCCATGCTTCGCGTGTGCCGCTTTACGTTCCCGCATGCGATCCCAACACCGGCTTTCTTGGTGACCTTGCCGACCGCAGAAATCACACCGCGACTTGTCGTCTTGGTTCCGTTCAACCGTCACAGCCGGTTTGCGGGATTCGCCATTGCCGCCGTTGCGTGTACCACCACGGCCACGTCCACGGGCACGACCTCGGCCACCGCGACCACGGCCTCCACGGGCACCAGCAGCGCCTCCCCGTACAAACGTTTGCGTCAACACAGGCGCGGCTGACTGAGTCTCGGGAGATGTCGATGAGCCGGCAGCCATCTGGAACTCTTGCTGCAAACGGGCAGAGATAGCTCTGTCCACAGCCTGTTGAAATTCACTGGACTGCAGCACGTTTGACACGTTTGCTGAACTGACATCACCGGCAGCAGTTTCGTCGTCTTCACTTTGCTTCTGCTTTGCCGAGACTTCAGCTGTCAAAATGACATTTGTGTTAGAACTTGTACGTTCCGAATCAACTTTTAACACCTTGAAACGTGTCAATAACTCTTCCGGTGTTGTCGGATTAAGCACTGCCATATGATTACGTAGGCTTGTACTAAGACCGTTCAACAGGTAGCGCACTTTCATTTCGTTTGACATCGCAGTATCGACTTTATGACAAAGGTCAATGATAGAGTAGTAATATTCAACCAGTCTCTCTTTATCCTGATTGAATTTGCGATTTTGCAACTTGTTCTGATAGTCCCACTTCTCATCCTCACTGACAAATTCTGTGAGAAATGCAGTACGCAAAGCGTCCCAAGTCGCAAACGGCTTTCTGAGGTTATACCACTGCTTAGCGGCACCAGCCGTCAAGTAGAACGCAAACCGTTCATTTTTGGTTTTGTCCAGCCAATTCGACATGGTCGCTGCTTCTTCAAACTCCTTCATCCATTCACGAGCGTTATGCTCAGAAGGCTTGAATTTATCGCACTGCAGCGGACCACTTACTGGAGCGTCTGTTGCGACCTTTACAAGACTCTGTAGGCCATCAGTAAGTGCTTTAACTTGTGCATCCATATTGACACTTTCAGTATCATTAACGTCAACGAGAACCGTTGCAGTACGTTCTGGTATATCGGTCAAGAAAGGTGACTGTGTACCTGTCTCAACGAGTGGCGAAGCGTCACTTTCAAGTATAACAGCCGACTGTGTTGAGCTTAATGCAGTAACAGGCTCATCGTCATCTGATATTAATTCTTCATCAGATTTGATTTCGCCCTGGGCACGCCTGACCTTTTTCGGTTTTGGCAATTCGCCTTCTGCAAACTCTGCTTGACCGTCTGAACGCAACGTCCGTCCTCCGGCTTTTTTTAATATGTCTGCTTCTGTATACGGAAAAGTCTGTGTAGCAGCTTTCGAACTTGAAGCTACAGTTATTGAACTTGCGACAGGTTTATCTGCTGCTGCAGTTGCAACTGACTGCTTTCTTAGCTAGCGGTTGCGTTGATTTACCGCTCTTGTCGGACATTAACGTCGACAATTATTTAACCAAGAATAGCATTACAAATAATGTTGGATTGCGCCTGGTGCAGCATGTATCCCAACACGACATTAGCAGTCAGACTACCAGCAGATAAGAGAATTAACAGTTGAGTTGACCACGAGCAACAGCTCATCAACTTTCTGATCGGTGCTACTATACAGTTCAAAACTTTACACATTTTGAACAAAAGCAACAACCAAATATTGTACGATATGCGATTCTTGTACGAATATTACATTCAAAAGAACTATCCGCTGAATAACGGAATCACATACCCAAAGCCGCTTCCACCGCCTTTAAACGTTCGTTACAGGTGTCGTAAAGATGGGTATAAAATGGATCAATAACGGGAGCCGTCATATCGACTGAGAACAGAAAGGTCACCGGGCTATTACGGTTGCAAAACGCATCCACCCAGGAGCGCCATAATATATGATCGTTTCTCCTACACTATACGTAACGGAGAATACCGCCAAATCCCATCAATGATCTTTACTGTAGCCGCACACGATAGATAATGATTCGCTCAATCACAACTTCATCATGGCGCTGAGAAATCAGCATAGAAAACAGACGTCTTTAGACACAGATAGCTACGTGAAGATAGTTCACAACAATTGCATAAACGCCGGATTACGCCGGTGAGCAACACTGTATACATGACTATGCGTCACACAGCAATAATTGTTACGATTTGATGAATAAACAGTAAACGGCCACGAAAATAATGTGCGCTGAGCTTTAGAATGCTGCTCGCAAGGTTGTGAAACTGCAAATACCGGTATCTACTGCGTTCAGTTTCTATAGAACACGATGCGCAGTGGTTTGAAAAATAACGGCCCCCTCCGAAAAATACTGTTTGAAAAATAGTACCACCCCCCGAAATAACGCCCCCTCCCCGAAATAAACCCCCCTCCTCCAAGACAAAACTTTTGCACCCCAGGGGTGCAAATTCGATAATTACGGTATCTCAAGCTCACACCGATAACGACAGCAACAGGCTTGTAAAAGATTTTTTATGTAAACTTCTACACTGCTCGATACTATTACGCTATGGTCACAAAAGTTATTATCCTACTGAGTATTTAATGATCCTACATACTATAGTATGTACTGAAGTACATGTACTGTACTAGTATAACAGCTGATTGTAATATCTATATGTACTGCGCCTGTCTATCTGTACCACCGGCTTGTGAGTGCAAAATTTGTGTTCTGTATCAGCAGAACAGAAACAGGAACAAAATCAATATTTTGCCATTATAAGCGCCCGGCGCCGCTATTTCGGCATACGCGTATCGCCGTATCCCCATTTCATCTGACCGGCTGTCCGGTCTGCTAAAAACGGTCAAATGCGCTCTGAGTCGGGGTGCTTCTGACCCTTTTTACCAGACCGGTCAGAATCGCCCTGGCCCCACAGCCAACCCTAATTGCCGTTGTATATGTCGGCATGCTTCGCATTCCGAAGTGATATGTTAACGTTAACGGTGTACACGTGCATACGAGTACTAGTATCATCGCATCACATCGATTGGTTGCAGCGGCAAGCCTGTTCATTTTCGATTATAGCATATAGATATAGATATACTCTGCCTAACTCTGGAAGTCCAGATTACAGTACAACTTTACAAGTACGCATTATGTTCCTGTGTAATGAGATAATCAGAACGTAATAGAGTATTACAGTACTTAGTCGAAACAAGCAGCAAGAAACAAAACCAAAAATTTATTTATGGAAACGTGGTTGATGTACGCTGGACGATACAAAGCTTGATCGATAGAATTGCTGTACCGTGCAGAGCGTCTACGTATTTGTACATGTAAGCGTTCCAACATGATTACGAGGAAATGCATAATGCGTTTCAACATAATTACAACTCGCACAAATCCGTCAGCAGCAGCAGTGACCAGTCTCCTGAACCGGTCAAACATTGTTTGTCCCATGCTTTGCTAGGCGTCACGATACAGGAATATTGATTTTTCCTGTACCAGTAACACTTTAACCTGTTCCAACCATCCATACTACAAACATTATACATACACACATACAGTATTCCTTAATCGATAGATGCAGTACTCCATGCTGTAGTACAGCTGTACCGCCTGTACGCAAACAAGTAAGTGTGTAGATTGTAGTTGCGGGTTTGCGCTAGGCTCGTGACCCATATAATGCGCATCTAATGCTCAGAAGTATTTATTACGGCTAGCACTCTTATCAAATCTTCTTTCAAATTTGAATCGTCAAGCGGCGCTTTTGCCGAAAGCTTTGGAGAGGGATACGAATAATACGTTCCCATTTATTATTGGACCAATATTATTGATGTACCATTAGGGCAGTACCGAGCACCTCTTCATTTGTAATCACTAGAAAATGGCTGAGAGCAGCGACGTCGAAGCCCCTCAAAATCGATCAGTTAAGTCATGGCAGTCCAAAGAAGATCGGAATCTCTCAAAGGAGAACCACGGACACAGTTGGCACAATATTGCTACCCACGAAACCTGGAAGTGTGCCGCTGTCCTGGCCCCTTTAAGCAAAATGATGGTGGTGCAAGGGTTACTCCGTGCTTACATCGTGGCATTCGCACTATATACTGAAAGCATCAAGATCAAGCCGGACTGGGTAAGATTCAGCAGGACGTAAGGAAAATTCAGTCTCATATTATACATTGTCCTTTTACTGCTCGGCCATTCGTCCGGGGTTCCGCGTCATGCAAATGGCGCGGCGCGTTCGCGTTTATGCAGCTGTGTGGTATTGGTACACACGGTCGGATACCGGAAGCAGTGCAGGGAAGAAGTATAATGGGACAAGGAAATACATTAACATAAAGTAGCAAGTACTAAGTTACTAACTAGGAAGTCTGAATCAGTGTATGGATATTCGAGGCAGTACTGGGACAGTACTGTATACACCGAACCCGGTTTCACGGCAAGCAGATTTTTTACGAACATCCGAAAGGACCGAAACAGCGAAAATGCGTTTACAGTTCGAAATACGACACTGAGCTTCGTATGCGTAGGCATCTTCTTTTACCGTTGTATGCTACGGAGCTCGTTTGACGCAGATTACGATAAGTACTCGATGACAGTCTACATCGGTAAAACGAAATAAGGCTCCGGTATTGGCGTTTACCGAAAAAACGCCCACGGAAAGCCGATGCTGCATTTCAAACCGAAGCCAACAGATGAAGCGTTTGCCCAATTATGCGCAAATGCGGTGCAAAACGATTGCAGCTTTACGTTGAAATTTTTGGTTTGCTTTTGCAGCGTGCGCCAGTTTCTGCCAGGTTACATTAATTAATTTAAGTTTTGGTCACTTGGTTTTATGGGCGGATCGTTCGAAGGAGACTGCCCTAAATTTTTCACGGTATATGGAATTGTAATTAACAAAAAAATCTTATTCCCGGCTCTTAAAAAACTCTTAAAAAGCGGCGTGTATGTGAAAACTGTGAATGGACTTCCCCGTAAGGTACCCGCACAATAAAATTCTGACTATATAAAGTAAACTAGTATAAGGTCGTAACCGCCCTTAGGGCAAGCGGGCGGCGGTGTTTAGTTTTGGACGTGTAAAGAAGAGAAATTGAAATCATGGGTCTGTAGACGTTGTTTTATAATTAAGCCGATTAAGGAAAGTGACTTGAACGGGTGGCTGAACGAAATCTCACCCTCCTTTTTCGGTTTATTTCTCGTGAATCACTTATCGCATCGCGAACTGTTCAGACTCCTTCGATAGACAGTCTTTGTGACTAACCAAAACAATAAACCTTGTTTCATAAAAAAAACCGTGCTTGATAAAAGTAATGCGAATTCAAATTGTGTAAATAATTATTTTGTCCCAGCTCGATGGAGTCAGAATCTCTTCGCAATTCTATTACGTATGTCATGCTCAAATATCTTTAACTGGTTCAGCAAGAAAATGGCGGCTATTTCCAACAGAAAAATGTTAGTTGGCACGGTGCATGCGCAGATTGAGCTTTTTGGTCAGCAAATCTTGAGAGCTTATTGTAAGAATACAGTTTATTATCTATGTACTTCGTTTTTCGCTGTTTTTGTTACAATTTTTTGCTTGCAACAGGCGGCAACACGAAATGCCGGTTTGCGCATTGATTTGTGAACACTGAAATTTTCAGGACAAAAAACGATGATTTGATGATTTACAGAGTAGGGTACGCCGAAATTTATTTGACGCCCCGGAGTCATAAATTAAGTGGGAGGGCGTTTTTCTTTCGCACGCACGGGATGACGCTTTTAAATCGAACGGGATGTTAATTTTGAGATTGAATTACTATAACTTCCTTGTACAATCAAACAAACCATGTTGTAAAAGAAAATATCCCGAAATGTTATAATATATGGAGAGGTAGGTAAGCTAAGTTTAGAAACTGCTTCTGCTGTGAATTCGGCGTTGATCAAGAAAAAAAAAGCTTAGCTACCTTGCAGATTTGCGGTGTCACAGGCCCGGGAGTCTCAAGGTGCAGACCACGTTATTTGGGTTGAACCATGGACTTCGTAAGGATATTAGCCATTTTTGTTTGCGGGCCAAAGTTTTTTTTTCACGCAAACGGATTGCAGAATCAAATTCAGCGAATTTTTCTGATCTAGAAGTGACTTTTCAAAATCGGAAAAGGTCAAAACGAAATTCTGACTGCCGGTCCCCCTAATGCCCCACAACAACCATGGGCGGTAGCAATGGCGTCTATTTCCAAAAATCGTTTTTCTTCATTTTGAACGCTTTTTCCAGCTAAACAGATAGCGCGGATTTCGAATCTGAGGTCAAAAAAATTTTTGGACCGCCCCCTCACCCCCCACCCCCACCTTACTGTATTATTAATAGAGGTTGCTTCGAAAATGCGGTTTCCTGTTTTCGTTACACTTATTATAAGCAAATCATAGGCGCTGGGTACGAATATGATGTATTTAAAAGCATTCAACCGCTGTGGCTTGAAATTTTGCATTTATATCATCAAGCAATACTGCGATACATTATCTGCATTGTCTCAAGTGCAAATATTTATGTTCGCTGAACGCAAGTGCAGTCGGCGTATAAATATGCGTTTGCGAACAGCACAGGTTTGTTAACGACTGGACCTTTGCAAGCATTTATGAACATAATGATGAGTGAGGCTGTTTTTAAAACGTTTTTTGCTATTATGGATTAGTATGCTGCTGCATTACAGTACGTGGCAATCGCCATTCCTTCATATATGTGTAGCGTAGCTTGATTTAGTGTTGATATCAGATTAACTGACAAGACATATACAAATATCCGCCGATTACCTAGCAACTTGAAACAAAATTTTATATTTGTACTCAGTGCCTATGATTTGCTTATAATAAGTGTAACGAAAACGCATTTTCGAAACAATCTCCTATTAATAATACAGTAAGGTGGGGTGGGGGGGGTGAGGGGGCGGTTCAAAAACTTTTTTGACATCATATTCGTACTCAGCGCCTATGACTTGCTTATAATAAGTGCAACGAAAACAGATAACCGCATTTTCGGAGCAACACCCTATTAATAATACAGTAAGGTGGGGGTGGGAGGTCAGGGGTCGGTCCAAAATTTTTTTTGACCTCAGATTCGAAATCCGCGCTATCTGTTTAGCTAGGAAAAGCGTTCAAAACGAAGAAAAAAGGTTTTTGGATTCAGACGCCATTGCTACCGCCCATGGTTGTTGTGGGGCATTAGGGGTACCGGCAGTCAGAATTTCGTTTTAACCTTTTGCGATTTTGAAAAGTCACTTCTAGATCAGAAAAATTCGCTGAATTTGATTCTGCAATCCGTTTGGGTGAAAAAAAAATTAGGCCCGTAAACAAAAATTGCTAATATCCTTACGAAGTCCATGGGTTGAACTCAGGTCTTCGAGGAGGTCAAGACATTGAGGTCATTAAGACGAGAGGTACCCAACATAAGGGTGAATTGGTCCACCCACCGTGCTGCGTATTGTTGGAAAGAGCGTTTCGTAATCAACAACCCGACACCAGCAATGTTTATTAAAGTTTTAAACTGAAAAGTTATTTTGACGTTAAACAGCAGTACAACAGAAAGTTGCCGAAAGCGCTCCGTTACAGCAGTGGCAGATCGAGCCTATCGGTCAGTCTAGTGAGCAATGGGCAGCGATCGGGCCTGCCGCCTGCCAGCGCTCCTGAACTCGTGCGTCTTTCTGGTTATCTCTCTCTCCCCGATCACAAAAAATACTCTGCAAGTAGCCATCAAACTGGCAACGATACGAGTAGTGATACAACTGACAACAAATGTCCTACACGGCAGTAGTTAAACCAAGGTTGAACCTTGGAAATATTTTAAATTTATTGGCATTTCAAAACAGGAGTAGAGGTTTTCAAAAGAAAGTAATTAAAGCCTAAAGGCATGCTTATATTCAAGTAGCTTATTCACATTTTAATAACAAAATATGTGGCTTTGCGCCGTAGTTTAAAACCTAGCTTAGTTCATTCGAAACTTAGAAATTACTCCTAAGCTAACAAAAATTATTTCATCCGAGCGATCATTCCTGTTAAAGTCAGTAGGTGGCGAATTATTTGATACGTTTTGGTAGTACCTATTACGTTGTTACGTTTTGTTTGCTTGGTATTATTGGTAACGTTACTAAGGCACGAAAATGAAATAACAAAAGGTTTGGACTTCGCAGTTGGCTTCGGGCCTATTCGCTATCGTAGTTTGGAAAAGACTGGAAGGACATGAAAAGTTTCGAGCAGGATACACAGTATTTGCTTTTCCCCACATGGCCTGGTTTGAATTAAATTGGCCGTATGGTCAAGCAGTCTTCGTGGGCTGACCAGCTGACCGAATGGTTGCCGGCAGGCTGGCCCACAGAATGCTCTCTGCGTTTCTTCAATGGTCACTTGCCTGTTGTACTGAACTTTGACGCGATAGTGGTTTCCACTATGTAAATTCTAAGAAGATATTCCTGTGACAGTGTACATTGTCAGCATCATAGTGAACAGGAAGAAAACAACTCGCGCTATCCGTTGCACTAATTCTCATCTCGATGTAACGTCGGGTTGGCTCGGAATTTCGGTTTTAAATTTTGGTTTTGATATTTCAATTGCGTTTTCTTCGAATTTGTCAAAACCCGGCCAGCAGCGGATAGCCGACATCGAGATCTATCATAAGACATATCATCCTAACTGGATGTATAGTGAATATTTTCACCGGGGTCGAAGCTCAAAATTAATTTCCCCATTATTTTGTTAATGACCCTACAAAACATCCCAAAAAAATTAGTAGATGATAGCAGAACATCTTGGTGGCGCACGGCAATAGTTAAATTGACCGTACATTTACCACTGCGTGCACAGAAATTTAGCCCAAGGGGACCAAATGCAGGGTACCCCTCGTCTTAAGGGCCACCACAGCGACCTTTAGGTTTGCCGCGTAAAGTACTCACCTTTTTAAGGGTGAAAAAATCTTTAAGACCACTAAAAGTTAGATATAACTTAGTTCGAACCACGGTAGAAAACCGATACCATTTTTTGTTATTCTATTCCGTGTCTCTGTAAGTATTTCGGTTGTATTCTTACTGTGTTCTTACTTCTGATGTGATCTGATTTCAGTGTATACTTCCAATCAGCCGGCATTTCTACCTAATACCTATTCCGCTTGTATTTTTACCGTAATAACAACTTGTTAAATATTTAACATCTATGTATTGCGGCAGTCTTCCTTACCTAATCGAGGTATTTTCACGTATTCCGCAGGCAATCTGGCCGAATTCAAGGCGTTTCATAATTTTTTAATTATGAGAACACACTGCAAATACATGCGGAATACGGAGAATACCCTGACACAATAAAGGAAGCAACAGTCATGTCTAAAGCTAGATAACTGAAAACACCTCGCGAATACAGTAAAAATACAGGCAGAATACGGATGGAATACGTGGGATTACAGCGAACGGCCAACGATACTTTTGTCACAGAGGCAAGATTGATATGCTTTCGGAGTGGCCCGTACTCTCACACCACCTGTATTCTGCCTTTATTCCTGAAGTATTTTCCCTCGCTTATCTCGCTTAATTGACTGAATAACTGCAGCGTTCTTGCAGCATGTAAGCGCATGCCCACGTAATCGGCCTGTGTTTAAAAAGTGTTCCCAGCCGCTAGAGCTAAAAGCTAAAGAAATCTAAAAAATACGTTAACAACACGGACAGCTTACAGGTAGAATACGTGGAAAATTGGGGATACAGTAATGCTGCACAGTAAGACGTAGTAAGTTGCACTTGCAAAAAAGAAAATGCAATGAAATCTCTCCTTAAATACTTTTTTATTAGATACACTCGTTTAAAACATTCAAAATGTAAGGAACTGGATTTTCTCGTAGACTATGGCATAGGGGGCATTCTTTTTGTAGCATTCACCTCTTTACAACAGTAACATACAGTGCTAACTGTCACAGTGATAAAAATTTTATGCCACCCCGCCTACAGTTATCACCACTATCCTTGTCACCTAAAAAAAATGCTGCCCCTGAGGGCAGTTCTTCTTTATAAAAATAAACCCAGTCATAAAAAACGAAACCGATGGAACCGTGCCTGTATTATGTTGTCTGTCAAATTTACCACGTGTTGGGACTTCGATGCTAATTGCATTTAGATCAAAACGCTCGAGCGCGCAGCAACACGCACTGATTTGTGAGCCAGACACATTCACTGATAACGCTCTCCGCATTGGTCAGATGGAGATTCAGTTGCTGAATTAGAAAACCTAGCATTTTAGCTCGGTTTTATAGTTCATATCTACATTCAAGACCACTCAGCAACTCGCTATAATTGTTCTGAACTGTTTAAAATTGTCCGAAGTGACACCATATTGTATTATAGCGGTAGGTTATTACGGTGTTATTTATTAACTATTAAGAGTAAATTACTTAATAGATTTAATTAGTTAACTTAATCGGGCAGAAGTTTGTGAACTAATTATAACAGTTAATTTTGGTGTTAAGCTGTTATTTATTATTCAGCATAAATAATTAGATCTAAATAATTCGTTGACTAAATAAGTAGATATTCGTTAACTAATTAAGATAAATAGTTGAGTAGATAATAATAGGAACTAATAATAACAATACGTTAACTGATAACTAAGTAGATATTCATTAACTAATTATAGCAGTTATTTACGGTTTTAACTGTTACTAAGCGTAATTGATAGATTTAATCGTGCTAATCAAGTGAAAATTTGTGAGCTAATTATTACAGTAAACAGTCACGCTTAATGAACACTGCAAAGTTGTTGCAAACTAAAAGATTTTCGCAATTAGGCTTGAAATTGTTGTTGTTAGACACAATACGAATGCAACATTCACGATGCTCTCAGATTTTGCGATCTTTTCCAATCACGTATGTATAAAAATGGTCGGAACATTTTTCATTTTGTCCTAATAGCGGGGAGATTAGTCACGATACGTGCGCAAAAGTGATGTCGCAGATTCTAACGTGCTGTGTAAATTGAGAGTTGTTTATATTGAGATTATCATACTGAGAGATTTTACTGTACAACGTAAGTAAATGCAAACAGGACACGTGAGAGATGCACAGGAATACGTGCAACAAAGTGAACAAAAAAGCGATCGGTTTTAGAGCGTCACGAAGTGAGCCATAGGTGCTGAAGGTCACCACAGGGACCTTTTAGGTTCAACTTCGAAGGTGTTAAAAATCTTAAAGGTCACTAAAGGGCACCTCTTTGACCTTTCGGGTTCGCCGCGTGAGGAACTCACGTCTTTGAGGGTGTCAAGAACCCTAAAGGTCACTAAAGGTCACCACTGTGACCTTTCGGGTTCGCCGCGTGAGGAACTCACGTCTTTGAGGGTGTCAAGAACCTTAAAGGTCACTAAAGGTCACCACTGTGACCTTTCGGGTTCGCCGCGTGAGGAACTCGCGTCTTTGAGGGTGTCAAGAACCCTAAAGGTCACTAAAGGTCACCACTGTGACCTTACGGGTTCGCCGCGTGAGGAACTCACGTCTTTGAGGGTGTCAAGAACCCTAAAGGTCACTAAAGGTCACCATTGTGACCTTTCGGGTTCGCCGCGTGAGGAACTCACGTCTTTGAGGGTGTCAAGAACCCTAAAGGTCACTAAAGGTCACCACTGTGACCTTTCGGGTTCGCCGCGTGAGGAACTCACGTCTTTTGAGGTGTCAAGTACCCTAAAGGTCACAAAAGGTCACCACTGTGACCTTTCGGGTTCGCCGCGTGAGGAACTCACGTCTTTTGAGGTGTCAAGTACCCTAAAGGTCACATGATTATCGTTGGCTCTCCCCGTGAGGAACTTTGCACTTTGCATCACCTTAAAAGAAACGCGGGCTCGCTTCGCTCGCCCGCTTGATTAATTAAAATTTAAAGAATTAAAGAATTAACATGTTGCAGCCGGAAAAACGTGAATCGACGGTGAAGAAATTTTTACCTTACGTCGTGGGTATGTCTCTGCCTTGGTTCTTCTTTTCCGTGCCTGCCATTGCCGCGATGGTGAAGACCCTATCTCTGCGGACCTGGATAAAGGATTTCCGTGGCACCGTCTCGGCTTCACAGATGGATCAACAGGCGGTCACGGTGTTCTCCGCTAAATGTGCTAATGTCTGCCAGAAACTGCGCAATATCGGCGAATTCAAATCGTGCGATATGCTGTCTGTGCGATTGTCTGTCAAATCGTGCGATATGCTTTTGCTCTTATCTCGGACCAAGCCATGTTCGTTGCTTACGATCATCTCTGGGGACCCCTGCTATTGGCCGCAATAGTAAATTTCATCGCGGGATGGCACTACCTGCTGGAACTAGAGCGCTTTCGGGTCACTGTTGTCACCGGAATGGTATAAGCAGGAGGTCACTATTTAGAACTGAGCTTCAGAAGGTCCCGTCTGTAGATAGCCTGATGAAGTGACTCCAGACAGTCAATGTAAGAACTGGGCGTCGTAATAAGCGCTTCGCTTAGAGCATGCTGCGCCAAGGTACCCCGAGGTACCACTACATATAGTGCAATTAGCTCAATAGCTTGTAGTCCCATCTGACAAATTTACGGAAGCGTGAGTGTGTGTGTGTTTGGTGCAAGTGTGGACTTATAATGTAACTGATTTTTGGAAGAAAGAAATGGCATTATGCACTACAACGCTTGATTCGTACATGTAAAACACCGAGACCCACCGAAAGTTGAAACTCGTTTTCGGGCATTAAGTGCTGAACACGTTTTGTGTAGAGGCAAAAAAGTGTGTTGTTAATCCATGTAGCCATTCACCTTGCTGTTCTTTAAGGCAGATTATATTACGAGGCTGCAACTAAACAGACTGACTTTTATCTTCATTAATTTTAACAGTATTAAATCCAAAAGCAAGTCTATGTGCGTAAAAATGCAGACTAAACTACGAGGAGGGGGTTAATGAGCTCGATGTACTTAGCAGGTAACAGAGTGCTCGATGTGTAACACGGCCAGCCATAAGAGGGCAGCCTGTGCTATCACGCAGAACACCTGAAGCAGTTATTGAGCCCGATATTTTTTGTCTCCATAGACATGCTAAACTGAATCACTTCTGTTTTGCAGATTTGGAACGAAACCAAGCAAATAACTCCAAAGAATCAGAATTCACGAGATTTTTGATACTAAACAAGTTATGACTCATGGTGCAGGACACAAGTTATGGACATTTATGTTTCTCGTAGACACAGCATAGAGTTTGTGCGTGGAACCCAACCGTTGATTCGAATTCTATGCTATGTCTACGAGAAACGCAAATGGCTATAACTTGTGTCCTGCACCATGAATCATAACTTGTTTAGTATCAAAAATCTCGTGATTTTTTCTGATTCTTTTGGAATGTTATTTGCTTGGTTTCGTTCACAAATGTGCAAAACAGAAGTGATTCAGTTTAGCATACAAGTCTATGGAGACAAAAAACTATCGGGCTCAATAACTGCTTCAGGTGTTCTGCGTGATAGCACGGGCTGCCGTCTCTTGGTGGCTGACCGTGTTGCACAGTCACGGGCACAGATAACGAGCTCTGTTACCCCTTGCTCGGGTGCATCGAGCTCATTTACCCCCTCCTCGTATACTAATTATAACATACTTACTTTACAGGTTGTATTTCACGTTAACTTTACTTCACTGACATATGTTTTAATCTATCTGTATGTTAACGGGTGCTGTTTGTTAGAATACTCAGTCAGTACTCAACAGTCTCGAATATGTACTAGCAGAAACTATGCACAAACTAAAAATAAACCATCCAGCTGATGCTGCTTTTCAACAGTTCCCAAGACACAAGCAGCATTACCGCGCTGAATTTTAATACTAAAACGTTGTAACAGAAAACACTTTGAGCGAATTTCGCCAGTCTGCTCTCTGGAGCGTCTAGCTAGATCATTAACAAAATCCATGGTGAAAGGACCGCAGCTTCCCATTGTCTCTGACGCGACGGGTTGAAAATTGTACCGGTCAGCCAAGTCAGCATACTTAGCATACTTCTTAACGGGTGTGTTTCTAGTTTCTCCTAGCGAACTGTTAGCGGTCTATAAGTACAAGTCTGTTGGTTATGACTGTGAAAACTACAGCTAAAGCTGAAAGTTAATTACAGTTATTTAATTAAAATTTTGGTAGAATGGAAAACTTTTGCACATTCAGTACACGATTCGTGTTTTGTACAATACAAGATGTATGTACGAGTATGTATGTGTGTATGAGTCACGAGCATCACGTTAATGCTTGCATCTTATAATGCAGCTCGTTATTTCAGCAATAATAATCGGGTCAACGTTTTAAGCGAGCTAAAATTTGGTCAATGCGAGCTGGTGAAGTTTAGACGGTTAAATTGTATCTGTCTTACATATAACGATACTAATCTGTGAAAAATCAGATAATTTCGCGGCTACCCACGGCAAAGCTTAAGCCAAAACATTCAATAAATGCGCCACGGCAAGCAATCCCGGCAGCTACTATCACGGACACTAGCTGCTATTAGTTTGTGCTTGCCACAAATCTAAGCCAGTTTTAAATTAACATACACATATAAAACCACTTTGTGGCCATGGCTGTAGCGCATCTAGAGATATCAAGCTACCGGGAAATGGTCAATACAGCCACTAACGAGACCGCCCGGCAGATGCAAGCACTTTTCAATTTCTACCATCTGCGCAATCTTCCTTTTAATTATTCCGAACGGCCCCCGGAAGCGGTTGACCTGAGCTTCGGCTGGCGCTTCGGTCTGGTGGCCGGTATTATTGTGTGGTCGACTGTTGGGGCGCTCGCTCTGAATGGGATTGCGATTTATCACGTGTTGATTGCCGAGAAGGATCCCGTGGAAAGACGCTCTCCGCGCAGTTTATTGCTGGCCAATGCTTGCATCCTTAACATAATTTTCACGCTATCGGTATACATTTGGGAAGCACTGTTTCTGGTTAAACATTTGTGGATGTTTTCTTTAGGATGGTTCGTGTTTTGGTGAGGAATCATATATATTTTTCAACGTATGATCGTTATTTTATTTGTTGATTACGTACCGCAGATATACAACATTTTTTTCTGCCACTGCAAATATGACGTTAATTTTTTTAGTAGGGAACAAGGTGTGCTGATAAATACATAGTTGAGACAAAGTGAACATCGTTGATAAAGACAGTGAATTTTCATGAACGATAAAAAGATATAAGCTCAAACGAAAATAATGTTTTACTTTGTACCGGTATGTATATGCCAAACTATTAGCGCTTCAAATTTTTTATCCACAATTTTTTTGTAAAAAAATTAATAATATTGCCATCTTATTGGTACGTCTCTTTTTTTAGTTAATTCTTCTTCTGGCTTAATTGATACAGAGACTGATCCGTTGTTCAAGATAATGTATGCCGATATTGTTGTTGTGATTTCCGGTTTTCGCAGTGTGAACATGGAGGAGGTGTTTGCCGGCGCGATCAACGCGATAACGGTTTGCCTGTGTCTCTGTCAGCTGCTGGAAGCGGTGGTGACCACCTACAAGCGGGCTTTCTGGATCAGCATGACCGTGTTGTTGAACGTGTTGCCGCTGTTGTACAGTACGGCGTCCGCGGTGCCCTTGCTCATTAAGCAGCATTTTATCTTGGTGTATTATGCTGATGGCGTGGTTGATATCGCCCAGTGGCACGGTTCGACCAATGTTATCAAATACGCCCGGCATGTTGTTTTCTCGTAAGTACATATTTGTAGTTCTCAATCAATTTTGATCGAATAACACGGTTAGTCGTAATTAACAAAATTATTATATTTTCTGTTAACTACTGCCATAATAGTAAGATGCAGTTTCCTCGGTTATTTTCTTGAATTTTCATTACAATTTTTATTGATATCTACCAGTTACAGAAATTAAAACAAAGATCTTATTTTCTCGACGCCGACGTGTCTCTGTACATGCTGTTAATTACATGTACAATCCTGAGACCACATTTATAAATAACATCTGCTTGTTAAGTCTGTATAACATACAAGTGAATCATGTATTTGTTGTATTTTCCTGTTTATATTATACAAGTGCAATGACAAAGTTATAAACAGAAAAATTTTAAAACGAAAAAATTTACGCTTAAACTCAGTCATACAAGAAAGGTCAGTTTGAACTATAAATTAATTTAACAGCGATCTGGTGCTGCCCTTCGTTTTATCTTTCATCTTTTTCGTCACAACTTTGGCTATTCACGTCACACGCAAGCCCCGCCCCTCCTACTCACGCATGGGCAGCCGGGAGAGCGCTGTCTTTTGGCGCGCCGAACAACCGGACGACAGTCTGGACGACGATGTCTTCCACGAAGAAACTCACAGCGATACCTCCAGCTCTGAACAGCTGGATGCATCCTGGGACAGTGTGGCACCGGTGATCAAAAAGCCACAGCCGCCCCGCCCAGCCCCCGAAAAGAAGCCGGCATTACGCTCACCGTCCAAATCCGAGCAAGTCAAAGCCAACATGCGAGCGTTTGACTGGGTACCGGGTGCATTTCTCCTGAGCAGTATCCTGTGCGATTCTCCGTATTATACCATGTTCTACTTGGGGGTGGTGAACAGAACGCCCTTTGTCCGAGAAGTATATGCTCTGCATGTGTTGCCGCTGTTCCTCCGCCCGGCCATGATTATCTGGGCGAAGCACATGGAAATCAAGCGCCGACAGCAGGAACTGCAATAGGAAGCGCTAACAGCCTTATAGCTGACATTGCTAGAAATGTACCAGTGTGACTCTGCTGCGGCGCCATGTTCGTTTGTTTGTTTGTTTGTGTTTGTTTGTGCCATGCTGCTGTGTACTAAAATTAATAGTTAAATTAATCTGGTGTTGTATTGCAGTACAATTTCACATGTGCACCAGCTTCATTGCTCGGTTCTTTAATTACTTCCCATGACAGAAGTAAAATTTAAAACCTTTTTCTCGAAAATTATCTTTATGCGATACTCTTTTGAAACGAAGGAGTTGCTGTTTTGAAAAGATTTTTCATTTAGCCCGTACTAATTTAGGGATCTCTAGCTGTACCATATAAAATTGCTGTGCCATTTCGTATACGCCAAGGCCAAGTACATGTGCGTTATGCTTTATGCGCCAAAAATGTTATATAAGGGGCGAAACTAAGCGTCTTCCACCGTTCCTCTGTATTGCTGCCGTCACCCGCCGGGAGAATGACGTTACGGCAATACATATGGTTAAATGTGGCACGGTATATAAGCGCGCGCCATGCTCAGCCACAACGTCAAACTCCCGCCGGGTGGCGACAGCAGTACGAGGGAACGGTAGAAGATGCCTGGTTTTGCCCCTTATATGGAAAAAAGAACCGCCTCGGCTTAGTACAGCCGGCTATTTACATAATCCCATACACAGTACCTGAAACGTAACACCCCTTATTTAGGCATATCGCCGATCGAGAAATTCATCCTAAACGTCAAACATTTTCCACTCACAATTTATTTAACACATTCACTATACTCAGTATACTGTACTCAAAACAATCGTTTAATTATAACCAGCTCGTTCGATAAGCATTGTTGGCCTGGAACAGCGTATGAATGCTGCAAAAAAATGTAGCGACAAAAACACAGGCACTGATTTTGAACTAGAATGCTGTAATTACCGTACTTCTATATATATTAGAGAAGCAGAACAAACTAACGGAAGTAAAACTCAACGATGTTCCAGTGGTACAATGCGTTTCTACTGGAAGACATCTGAACCAGCGGTTATGTACGATATGATGTTAGAATGATGTTACCGGAAAACCAGTGTACGGCAGACATGTCAGCTTATGAGTACGTAATATTAATGCGTAAAGTAAACAATTAACATGGTGGCAATTGCTGCGGCACTTCCGGTGTGGACAGCGAACCGACCAGCAGAGCTGGTGTTACACAAGTCTGTGTCGCAGTAGCAGAGCTGTGTTGCCGTGGCCTCGTTATCGGATAACTTCCATTCACCGCATTTCTTTTCCTCTCCCTTCTCCTTGCTGCAGGAACGAACAACCAATCCTATAAAAGACGTACAGACAATAAAAATATTACTTCTTTCAGGTAAGACCGCACGGATATACAGTAATATTTTGTTTAATATGGCATGTAAGACAACTGTTAACAATATATAAAAATCTTTTTCAATAAATTTTACCAATAAACTGCTTAATGGTACAATGTACTCTGTAAAGAGAAAATATAGACAGTTCGTCTAATCCATGTTGCTCAAATCAGGAGGTTCTTGGTGCATATTCGATCCCGTGCTGGTGATTTATGCGCTCAGGAAGTGTTCCAGTTGCATTCTGTACTGGTTATTATGCAATTATTTAAGTTTTGAACCGCGGACACCACCTCTTTTTTGTTGTACTATGCCCTGTACGTATACAAGTGCATCCTGCAGACCGATAACATAGTGATGATGCTATTGCTGTAACATCACTATCCAAAATGATAATAATTTTACATGCAGGAAGATCTAACAGCGTATGCCTAATACTCTGCATTCTGTAGGTGAATGAAAATATTATTGTTGATAAGCGCGCTATAAAGTCGTACCACAAAAATTGTATGAGCAACAACTTTCAAAAAATATCGACAAATCTCATATGTCAATTCAAAAAAAAATAATGCCGCTTTACCTATCTGTTATCGAGAGGAATACATTGCATGCGATGAGACCTTACCTCCTGTTTGGGTGATGCCGGTAGCGGTAGGACTGACGAATATGTGTTTGGTTACGCACACCCAGTCCTTGGGACATGTCAGCGAGCGCTGGCCGCCAACTGCTGGTTCGAAGTAACAGTTTCGACCACTCACAGGATCTACGTTAAAAAGAAATGACAAAATACAAAAATCTACAGGAAACTACATGGATCTGTATATGCAGTTATCATACCATATTTAATCGGGAAAATTACTACTTTGATTTTAAACGCATTAAGTGCATAAGTGCTTTATATAGATAGACGAAGGATACAGCTTAAATTCAGAAAGTACGATTTTACAAGGGACTGCACTTAGCCAATTCAATCTTACCGGCTTGGAGTATACAGAGCAGGACTAGGAAAGCACAAGCCGTAAAAGGAATGCTGCTATTGACCGCCATGTTAGAATCAATTTCAACTCCGCAGATGAAGAAACGCTGGAACAAGAAATGAAATCGGAATCAAGGTTATCAATTTTAAAATGCGGTGCAGTATACAAACCAGTCACGGTATCAGCTGAATATTAAATCGGCTTTGCCGGAAATAGCTTTATTCAAGTATACACTTTACTGCTTCAAGCATTCCGCTCTTTATCTTCGTAAATATTCCTAAACAAACTGCGTAATTTGCCAGAATGAAATGTAATGTAATTATTGCACCTCTGTTCCTGCTGCATTGGCGGCGATAAGTGCGGAAAACTAACAGAAGAGTGTGAGCTGCAAAGGGATTAATGCAAATATTACCATACATAACACCATGAAACCAGCAATATCTATTATTGATTTTAAGTTTGGCTGGGTTGTATCTCTAAGCCGGTATGCGCCAGGGTTTTATCGCTTTTCTAGTTCGAAACCGTTGTTTACTTATTATACAAAGACAAACAAAAGACATGCGCGCCGGTAAAATGGTCGTGCTCTTTGGATTTCATATTCGCGCATTGATTGCAATAAATTCGCCGTCAGAGATTATTGTTCATTTTGTTGTATTAGCAACCCGGAAACGTTAAAATTAATCTTATCCGGAAGAAAATGGCTAACTTCGTCACTTCGTTTTTTTGATTTTTGTGGTGCTTTTGTTTTCATTTGGTTCAACGGATTTTAACTGCCAGGGACATTATAAGAAAAACAAAGACAGAAAACATATATATACTGTAACTGGCGAAAATCGAAGCAAATGTGATATGGCTAAATCTTTCTCGGGTAAAGGGCCAAACGAACGAACATGTCGGGACATACAATCTTACCCGGTGCCCGTCGCTTCTGCCATCCTTTTTTCTGCAGAAAAATTATGTGGGATTACATGGTAAATCACACGGAGAAAAATCACCTTTTCAGCTTAAATAGCGACTTTTAAACGTTGCATTTGATGTTGTGTATAATAACTATAATTATTATAGTTATTTGATCGGACTATTTCATACGGTGGTTTTTGAAAGGTTTAGAGTGTGATATGTTCACAACATTTATCGCGGTATTACGGCAAGCGAAGATACGGACGTTATTGATTCTCACACGTGCTTGACACGCCTTGTAGACTGGTGGTCACGGTAAGATGCTTATGTTGTACGATCGACTACGCGTGTTGAACTGTCGTTATGCGAATGTGTACGTACTACGTACCACGTATCGCTCCTAAATTAACCTGTTCTGACTAATTTCAATATCTGCATGAAGAGAATCCCGTGATTTATTGTTTACAGTACCTTATGAACCTGTGCTATTACAGGAATCGTGCGTGCTTGCATGCTGTGTGTTCATGCGCTCGCGACAGCTCTGCGAGAGCGATGATTATGACATGAGCCTGATAAGAATGGTGACCTTGGATTTCCATTTTGCTTACTCAAGCAGCAGTACGGATTTCCCCATCGAAAATGTGGTGTCACTGACTTCCTCTGCAAACTGTGTGTTGGCTCGTAATAATCCTCTAAAACTTTGCCCGCTGCAGTATAAAAGCATCCGAAAAAAGCAGTGTGAGCATGAGGTCGCAAATTACAAATTAGTCTGCACTGTCACTGATAATAACTACCAGGTAAGTGGAATAGCTGTACATATTTGGGTTAGTGTTGATTTATTATGGTGTGAACATGTTTAACGTAAGTGACCTTTAACAATCTCTTATACAGAAAATGGATCGCAATTCGCACGATTACCAAACCCTGCTGAAGACGGTTTATGGAGAAGCGCGTGGAGAACCGGAAGAAGGTCAGTTAGCCGTGGCCTGGGTGATCAAGAATCGTGCCGATAAAAACCGCGCTTACTGGGGCGGAAACAGTATCGCCGCGGTGTGTCGTCATCCGGGACAATTTGAGTGCTGGAACCCTGGTGACATTTCGATGCATGAACACGGCGCCGGTGCCAATATTGAGCGCTGGTTGGATCGTTTCTACGAGCGCCCGGATCCCACCGGCGGGGCGGACCATTTCAACAATCCGGATAAGGAAGGCTTTCCCGGCTGGACTAACAACTGTCGCTCTGGTGTCAAGGTTGGTAACCATCAATTCTACCACGGCCCGTAAATATTATGCCGCCGTGCACATGAACCACGGTTTAACTCGTTTGGTTTTGGGGAAATGTGATTTCAGGCATTGCTGCGAACAGGAAGCAGTAATTCCTATACTGATTCAGCAGGAACTACTGATTCAGTAACTCCTACGGTGATATAATAATTATCTAGATTTAACTCCATGAGCGTTCTTTCGTGAATTTCGAATAAAGTGTGTGATCACTTCATATAATATTATGTTATTATTACAGTAACATTAACATCAACGTAAATCCGGTAGATTTTGCTTGTGCTTCTGTTACTGAGCAAAAAAATGTGGTTTATACGCAGCAAATTCACATAACACGAGGAACTGATCAAAATGCTGTACTCCCGGCGTGTACAAGCCAGTTCGGAGTTAGAGCACGATAGAGAACAGCTAATAATAAGCGCGATGTTAGCGCTTGGGACGATGGCCACTACATTACGTCTGCCACAATGCGTAAATGCACTCCGCAGTTAGTTTGTCCCTTACTTCTCCGACCGTTTGCTAGCCACCTTCCGCCAGGCAATTACGATTATGCCCATTAAAATATATGGCGTGCACTAAGCTACCAGCCAGCCAAATGAATGTTACGTGTTTGAAAAGTGTGGTGTGGCGTGGCGTAGTATGTTGTTTGGCGTAACCCACCAATTTACATTGTTCGCTGTTTCGCTATCGTGCTCTATCTCCGGACCGGCTTGTACATCAACCGAACCGCTGATAATAGCGAAGGTCAGCAGCTTTCTATTAATAGCAGCTACTGAACCAATCGCACACAAACTTATAAAAGTCTAAATGCAAAAATCCGCGAGGCCATTGTAAAATCACGTGTCCAATTTCTAACAGAAATTTTGGAAACAAATAGTTGAATGTATGTTAATGTACACCGTTTTATTCTACGTATGTTTGTCAAGTACAAGTGGAGTCAGCAGATGTCTTACCGCTTATTCAAAAATTTCTTTGATTTATTTAAAGGCTTCCTAAGTTCATGTTTATTAAGAAATCGGTAAATGACAATACAGACTGCGTGAAACATTTTTTATTTGACAACTTTATTGTTGTCTATCTCATGCGATGCAGAAATAGAAATGCTGCCGTAATAACTGATATTTGTTGTGGTGGGTAAACAAGATAGGAAGGCGCCCTACCCTTTAAGGATTGCTAGCGCTGTTGATGCGCTGCACCTGCTGTAGTTTGCGTTTCGGGATTTTGTGTGATAAATGGTGAGTCAGTAATAATTTCGTCCACCATCTGAGCATTTGTTAGTGTCCGTGTTACCTGTTCTTGATTCAATGCTCGAAGAGAAGAGCTACGTGCTGTAATCGTGTACCGCAGATATCGCTATCCGATCAGCGAATTATAATTTACCGTTGGCGTTATGACTGTGTCTGTGTGCTTGATGAAACTCCAAGTTTCGGTCTTATTCAGATTTGATTTCCAATGGGAGTACTTATAGTGCTGACTTTATACCATCATCACGAGTTCGTGAATTAAAAAGAGTAGGCTTACCGACAATTACAACAACACATCCCGGGTACAACGTAAGATGCCGATAACTTAAAAACGCTTGCGTCTTGCATAAATCGTATTTATTTAACTACTGTTTGTACGAGCACAAAGAACGTTCGCGCTAGTTTTGTTATGTTTGGCTGTTGCGGTTTTTCTGTAGCCTTCACCGAGTGTTTTAACTTTGGTGTAAAGATTCGCAGTCTATGAGAATCTCTTTGATTAGAACGCTGAGACAACGACGTCAGAGAGTTGTTCGTCTTTGGATTTCGGCAACCTGCTTACTGCATTTCGCGAGAAGATGGATCATAGTTCGCCAAATGCCAAATCCCTCTCGGAACAGTGTATGGGGATGCCCGAGGGGAACCCTTTGAAGACCAGTTGGCCGCGTGGGTGATTAAGATCCGCGCCGACACGAGCCGAGACTGAAGAAAACCCATGGAAGATCACGGAGAAGAAATGCAGGTTCATTAATAGCATCGGCAATCATGACTTTTATAAAGGCAGCGGCCTTGGGCTTCCTTCTTTTCTAATAAGAGCTTATGAACAACGACAATTTTAAATGCAGACTCCTTTTGCCTTTCTTCTGTTGAACGAACCAGTGCGGTAGAACGTCGGAAAACTTTTCCCTGTGCCCCTGGATTATTATTTCCTTTTCAAGCTGCACTGGAACCCGCTCGGTGCAAAGAAAATGCTGAATAACGATGCTCAAATGTACATAAAACAGTTCGAACTTGGAAGTATCGAATAAAGCCAAAATGTGTAGTTTCCGGCTTATAAGTGGTAACAAACAACTACGACCTGTAAAGAGAATCGGCAGTCCAACTCAGGTCTGCTACAGCATTAGCTTTGTTGTTTCAGTTTGCAGGAAATTTGTATATAACGGATTATAGTTTTTCGAAAACGTGTTTTGGTTTAAAAATAAAACACTCCCAAATGCATGCTTGACCAGCGTAACCGTTCGGCAACCTACTCTACTGTATATTCTGAGGTGCACGATACAACGTAGCATGGGAAATCGATTTGTTGAATAAGCAGCGTAATAGATTTCCGAACGAACTGAATTGAATTAAATGGCTGATTTAAAGTAATACATGCGCATGTATTATTTTAAAGCAGCCATTTAATTAATAGTAAAACAAGCGTTGCTTATAAAAGATTTAAGGAAAGGCTCTCAGAAATTGTTTAATCTGTGAGCGTTCGCTATCAGTCATTTTGTATCGATTTCCGGCTTCGGCAGAGATGAAGGGACGCCTATAGTTACTGCATTGAATGCTGTTGTCTGTTGACCCCTATTTATGCCGCGCTATCCCACATAACACGCCTTTTTGGTTTATTCGGTATTCCATTTGAGGAACTCAGTACGTACGTGTGTTGTACTTAAGTGATATGCAATTATGACCAAATTTGAAAACTTTATCAGGAGAGTATTTGTCAAGTTGTCTCTGATGCATCAGCAAATTAAGCAATCGAAAGCAGAGACAGGGGAAGGCATTTATAGGCAACGCTTTGCGGTGTCAGACCAATTTTATATTCTAGTAAAATCGAGAAATACCGGCAGCAACACTTAGCTAAGACCGTGACAATGGTGCTCATTCGCGATAGGAATGCGCCGGATCAGGACAACATTCAATGACTTCAGAGCGGACTGTCCCGCCAAATAAACAAACGTGGGTATACTGTTGGATTCTGGGCTATGTAAGTAATAACAAGTATATTTCGATTTCACTCACGAACCACGATAATATAGTAGTTACAACATGCAATTAGCTGCTTTCACTGGGTACCATTTGACAGAGACGGAAGTTTTCGGATTTTCATGTCTCGGAGAAGTTCGTGCTGGTTTTGGCTGCGCTGTTGCTTGGAACCAGCATGGGTCTTACCCTGGAGGTAAATATAACTCCTTTATTTTCAAAATTTTAAATTTTCGAGATTTTTAGACGAGGCTAGTGACATGCCATCCGCTTCCGGTGCTTTTCTAGAGGGTCATTAGTACTTCTGGCTCGTGGTGTCGCGATAACAGCACGGGACTACTCACTAACGTATCCAGTGATTACCTTACCCGTTTAGACAAACAATGTGCAGCGGAGTTTACCTTTGCTTGGGTGACCATTATCCACTGTTTGTTTTCACTCTACTATTTATCGCACGGCCTGTTCTGGTAAGCACTGCGCGAATAGCTTGTTTTTCTTTTAACTATTGACCTTCTTAGAGCATCAAAGCGAGCAAGTGAGATGAATTTTTTATGCTGCGCTCATTAGAATAATCTATTTTCACTAACCTCTGTTGAAGAAATTTGTTGCAGCGTGCATGCAGTTGTAATCCCTTTATGCAGGGTACGATGGTATGAGCTGATTGTTTTCCTATGTAATGCGCTGCTCCGTCTTGCATATACTGTGGGAGACTTTATTGAACTGAACTACCACAATCATCCAGCCGATGCGGTACATCAACACATCTTTGACATTAAAGCAGTGAGTTTTGCAGCGCATGACAAGGTGGTCTTCATGCATTTATATATCCAAGTTGCCTGTGATTTAATGCTAGTCTGTACTCTGTATTTAAAATACCACTTCGGTTTGTTCGCATTTAAAGTTCACATTTAAATGTTCGCATTTAAATCTCTCTGGAGCATTCGTTAAAATCTCTCAGTTTTTCAAAGCGAATTTAATCTTTGCAGGCCAATATTGGTATGTTGGCAGTTACTGTCCTTGCCGCCCTTGCAGGAAGCATTGTGGCGTTTATCAATCTACGTAAAGGATTTATCCTTGCCGAATTCCCGCCAGAAAACAGAGACCAGGTGTGCCCTATTGTTTGTACGCACCACTGGCGTGTTACTTGCAAATAATGAATACAGTATGTATTACGCAGAATGTTTGGGACGATTGTAAACGTATTCTCTTGACGCGCTCTTTGCGCACCTTTAATACACAATTTCAGGTAAGAAATAATATTGTTTGCTATTTTTTTACAAACTTTACAATCGATATACCAGGTTGGTGCTTTTTGCTGTCTATAGGCAACATTTCTTCTCCTTATCATATGCCATGTTGAGGAATTTCACTGGGCTGCATTTGATAAAGTGATCGTGATAATCGGCTTCGTTTACCTCGTTGGCTGGAACCTCTTAGTAATATTCAGTGTAAGTGCAGCCTATCACCGAATACTCGTCGTTCATGGGACGCTATTCCACATAACATTAATATCAGAAATCTTCCAGGGAGATGTGGCCTATGTGAGCGCTGTTGCACGAGTTTACAAATTACAGTAATATTGTTCATACCCCACCCACAGCAGATCGCATCAAATCAATAACGCCTGCTTCAAATGCAAAAGAAATCTTAGAAAAAATAAAATTCAAAAAACTTCTGAAAAATTGCACTAAAAAACCAAAGGAAGCCAAAACAATCGTTAAAACGTACGAAAATCTAAGAAATCCGAAAAAGCTGTTATACGGCTTCCACAGCAGATTTCCGCCGGCAGTCTCTTCGGCTGCTGCACGATATCAAGTTCTTAGAACAAAAGCTTCTTAACAAAGCAAATGCTACACAACCTGAAAATCATAATATTATTTTTCCGTTCTCCGGAAAATAAATGGTTTTTAATTTATCTCTGTACGATCATGAAAGTACAAACTATCTGTACCCTCACTTACACTATTAGATTACACTTGACCGCCTAAAATGCTTAACGCTCGCTTCAAATGAAAAAAATCTTCGAAATTTGAAAAACTGCTCGTAAGGAAGCCTAAGCAATCTTCGAAATTTAAGAAAACCTAAGAGATCTGAAAAAGCCAAAGAAGCCTAAAACAACCTTGGAAATTTAATAAATCTAACACATTTCCAAAAGACTACATGACCAATCTGATAATGTTGTTCCAAAAGAAACCGAAATACATAATTATGTTGCTCCAAAAGTTTACACTTTGGATAAAAGAATAAAAACTTGCCAAGAACGTAATATCCGGAATGTTGAGATGCTAGCATGAGCGGTGGTCGAAGTGATTGCGTGATGGGCTGGTGTGGCCGAAATGTAACACCGCATAGGTGATCACTGTAGGTACAAAGTGGTCCAAGTCCTTAAAACCCTTGAAACCTTTAAAACCTTTAATACCTCTAAAGCCATAAAACCTCTTTCTTAAAAATCACTGATAAAACTGTAATTTAGTAATAAAACTGCTAAAACCTTAAAACCGCTTTCCGAAAAATCACTATCAAAACTATATATTAGTAAAAACCATTAAATCTTAAAACCGCTTTTTGAGAAATCACTGTCGATCCGATGTATTTATTAATTAAAACGTTTGGTTTTATTAGTTTCGATAGTTTTAAAATTAGATTTGGACCACTTTGTACCTACCCTCCGCATTTTTGAATCTCGAAGCAACACCACAAGTGTGGCATAGCGCCTGCAAACCTTCAACCACGCTAGTTTTTTTATTTTTCTTTGCTGAAGGATTTTGCGCTCTGCTTTTTACAGCAAGGTCACCTCTTCGTATGCATGAACGATAAAATATTTCGTAATAAAAATTCGTTATCATGTAGTTACTCAAAATATTTGTAAATTTGTTTCGCATCCAAGTTGGAGTCACTGCATCTGTGTACGATTTACAGTTGAGGCGACAGAGTAAGTGTTTGGCCTACCTGGCAGTTAGCACTGTACTGTTGGAGCTCCTTTATTATGGGTACAAAATCGTCATGTCAAGCGAGGCCCTGGCAACGAGTAACCATGGAGCTTTCAGCACGCACTCGTTACATTTTGCCGTTTGTTGTATTGGATCCGTGGCTATGTTCGCTAGCACTGCGGCCGGTTGGTATTTATACATCACAGCAAGAGATACGTTTGGAAACGAGCGCGCGCCGAAGTGGCACAAGAAAGGTGACTTCTGAAATTACATTAAAAGCACTAGTGTTAATAGACACATTTTCTCATAGTGTATCCCGACATCTATAACTCGAAAACCAACGAGATAGGGACCGCAGATGGAGATGGTATCTCGGGAGCATCTGCAACCGTCCGCAATATGTCGGTACCTTTGAATAGCATTAGTGGACGATCCTCAAACTATGGTGCGACGACGACCCCGTACGAGCAACTGAATTAGAGACAATCAGAAAAAGTTCTGCATTGAAGATGGCTTGTGACCTTTGCATAAGTAAAGCCAGTTTTCAAATTCTACTTGCAATGTTTTCTTAAGTGCATACAATTATGTTATTAAGTACGTAATAGTTTCGTCAGTCATTTTGAATTAATGTTGTTTGCATCACAGGTTTGGTAAAAGCGGTAATTACATGGTATTATTTAAAGTCGGTATCGGAGTACAATACATCCTGGTGCACTGTATCATGCCACAAATACACAGACAAGCAGTGTGTGTGTTTTGATTGGCAACATTCCTAAACGATAATTAAGCCCTATGCTTTCATAACATTTTATTTTATTTCCAGTTAAATTTGACCAGGGTTGTTAAACAGCGTCCATTTTTTGTTGAAGCCGATAATGACATACTGTCTAAAGGCTTACACATATTTCATTCATGCAACTCGCAGTTGAGTAAATGCGATTATTGTAGATAATAGTAACACTAATGTACATGTCCTCGTACATGATGGACGAGGACATGTACATTAGTGTTACTGTACATGTTTGAATTTTTCTGGCATGAATTTTCATGGAAATTTTATGCAGTAATATGGTAACTTATGATATACAGTAATTAAAATCAGAAGATACCACACCACATAATAATAATGGAAGTTTGTTGTCCTTGCACGGAGCGGTTGCTCCCTCTTAGCTTCAGACAGCAAGACAGCAAAAATACAGAAACGTAAGACAACATCGTGAAGTGAATGTTGCACATCGCGTCTAATCAGTAAACAGATAATCTTATCCATTGATGAAGGGTTTCGATTGATTAATACGATCACCATACAACATCCGCCTAGTAATGATTGTCTCTCACGTCAAAGGAAGCACTCAATAATCCGATGAACTCAAGTAGAAAAGCTTAATAACTGAAAAGAGAATGCCGAAATAATTACTGGCTTTCCTTCTCGTCCGCTGCATCTAGGTAGTGCTAATGCTGCCTGATGCTTCCCGGCCTTCAGTCGAACAATACTGGAGCTTTTTGTCACGAGATGGGCCGCGAAGAAGAAGTGAAATAGGTACGGCAGATGAAAAGGGTTGGCGCCTGCAAAAGGTGATAGAAAAGATGGAAGAAAGCCGTGCGCTGACGCTGTTGTCAGGTTAGTGGGTCGTGGAATTTGCTGATGCAGCATAGGGAAGCAGGATGCCGGGCTGCCGCTGCCGGATCGATAGGGCAAGGGCGGGGCGTTGAGAATAATGCTACGGTGCAGTTGGGATTTTTGTTTGCGGGACTTGGCTCCAGCTCACACTTTTCTGTTAGTTTTTCGCACTTATCGCCGCCAATGCAGCAGGAATAGAGGTGCAATAATTACATTAAATTTCATTCTGGCAAATTACGCAGTTTGTTTAGGAATATTTACCAAGATAAAGCGTTAACGGCTTGAAGCCCATGTGTACTTGAACAAACAATTTCCAGCAAAAACCGGCTGAATTGTATTTGATACCGTGCCTTACTGCCTGCGGCACCGCAGTTTTAAAAATTGATAGTCGTAATTTCCTTCAAGCGTTTTTTTTTGTGGAATCGAAATTTATCTAACATGGCAATCAATAAAAGCATTGTTTTTACAACATGTGCTGCGCTGATCTTGCTCTCTTCTGCTCCAGACCGGTAAGACAGAATTGGCTAAAACTAAAAGCAGTTCGTTGTACCATGTATATTTCTATACAAAGTGCACTTTTAACTTATGCTTCAATCTTCTTGTCATAAACAATGAAAAACTAGTTGATGCTGATCATTCAGTTATGCGGTGCTCATGAGGTAGTTCATCGATCAATTGCGGACTTCGCTGTGCAAAAACATCGGCTAACAAGAAATCCTTTATTCGCGCTACTGATCGATCTTACCTGTTAAGGTCGCTGAATTTTCCCATCGATCTGACAGTTTACAGACTGACATTTTACAGGTGCGGTTTCAAAATCGGGGAATAATACAAATATTACCATACGTAACACCATAAAACTAGCAATATCTACTATTGATTTTATGTTTGGCTGACTTGTATCTCTGAGCTGGTATGCGCCGGGATTTTATCGCTTTTCCAGTTTGAAGCCGTTGTTTGTCTATTATACAAATACAAACAACAAGCATGCGCGCCCCTAAAATTAACGTGCTGCTTGTGTTCAGCAGTCACGTATCGATTGCAATAAAATCTTTGTCAAAGAATATTGTTCAGCTTGTAGTGTACAAAACATTAGTAAAACAGAAATGTCCAGACTAACCAGGGCACATTTTCCAGGTCTAACTTCAGAAAATTCTGATCTTTTGTAGAAAGGTAGAGTACTACCCCAGTTTGCTTGAAAAAATTATTCATCTGCAAAGGATCAAGGGGCGTGGCCGAACAGAATTAAATTGATACATAGTACTACGGTATGCGATAACTTCACGACAATGTGTAATTACATAAGGTAATTAAGATACAGCTACTTCAAAGTATTAATAATTCTTACACGCGTTTGACACGCTGTGTCGACTGATACAGATAGGTAGTGCAGGGAGCGCAATTAGTACGGTGCGTGAACACCCGGTGTTTGAGCTATCGCTATTTGAATACAACCGTATGCGTATCGAGGCGACGAGGCTTATAAAATTGATTAACCTGTTCTGACTAATTTCAACATCTTCATAAAGAGGAATTCCGTGATTTCTTGTATGCAGTACCCTGTGAACCTTTCGTATTACTGTAAACATGCATGTTTGCTGGCTGATTGTACAGAGCTCGCGAGAACCCCGCGTGCGCGATGACAGTATGAGCCCGATAGGAATGGTGATCTTGGTTTTCAAATTACTAACCGAAACGTCAGTGCAGATTCCCCACCGAGAACGTGCTGACAACCCCTGAAATATTTGGACTGGCCGTTATAATTTTCTCTAAAAGCTTGTCCGCCGTAGTATAAAAAGCGTCCGGAAGTAAGCAGTGTGAGCATTAATTCGCACATGATAATTATTTTGTACAATTGTACTGTCACTAATTTATACTTACCAGGTAAGTGGAATAGCTGTACATGTTTGGCTGCAGTATTTTGTTTATTGGTATAAATATGCTTAGCCCGTAAGACCCTTTAACACTCAGTGACCTTTAACAATCCCTGGAACAGAAAATGGATCGCCATTCACACAATTACCAAACCCTGCTGAAGACGGTTTATAGAGAAGCGCCTGGAGAACCGGAAGAAGGTCAGTTGGCCGTGGCCTGGGTGATCAAGAATCGTGCCGATAAAAACCGCGCTTACTGGGGCGGAAACAGTATCGCCGCGGTGTGTCGTCATCCGGGACAATTTGAGTGCTGGAACCCTGGTGACATTTCGATGCATGAACACGGCGCCGGTGCCAATATTGAGCGCTGGTTGGATCGTTTCTACGAGCGCCCGGATCCCACCGGCGGGGCGGACCATTTCCACAATCCGGATAAGGAAGGCTTTCCCGGCTGGACTAACAACTGTCGCTGGGGTGTCAAGATTGGTAACCATCAATTCTACCATAGGCCGTAAATATGTTTGTGGCCCCTTGTACGTGAACCACGGATTTAACTGTGTGATTTCACTGATTTGGAATAAATGTGAGTGTAGACATTGCAGCGAACAAAAAGCAGTAATTCCTACTGATTCAACAGGCACTACGTACTGATTTAATAATTCATTCCTACGGTGATGTATTAAATATTTAGAATTCATTCCATGGGTTTTCTTTCGTGAATATCGAATAGAGTGTGGGATTATGGCATCATTATGTTATCCTCGGAATTAACATCAACGTAAATCCGTTAGGTTTTGCTTGAGTTTTCGTTATTGAACACGAAAATTATAAACTGAAGGCAGCGAATTTACGTAGATAGTATGAGGAACGGTCAAAATACTGCACTTTCGTCGTGCACGTAAAATGATTCGCTGGTTCATAATATCAAAGATCAGCAGCTTTCTATGATAAAAGTAAACTATGGAACTATTCTCCTACAAATATAAAAACGTCTATATGAAAAAATATGCAAGGTCGCTGTAAAATGATATGTCCAGATCGAAAACTTTTAAATACTCGTCGTATCGATCATTGTAAATCTGACACAAAAAAATACAGGGGATGGAAGTTCTTTCGAAAACAGAAAGTTAACTGTCTAATAATGTACAGTGTTTTAGTCATACCTGCAGACTTTACGTGTACTTTACAAACATACTTACCGACTATCACAAAACTTCTTGGATTTATTTGAAGACTTTTTATTTGAAGCTTTTATTCTTATTTTCAATTTCATGCGGTCCAGAAATAGGGATACTGCCGTAATAATTATTAACATTCATTGTGGTCGGTAAACAAGATAAGAAGGCTATACACGACATGTAAGCACCCTACCCATACATATTGTTAGCGCTGTAGATGCGCTGTCAGCTGCACCTGCGTTAGTTCGAGTTTTGGGATTTGTGTGATAAATGGTGAGTCAGTACAGTTTTGTCCACCATCTGAGCATCCGTCTTATCCTGTTCCTTATTTAATACTCGAAGAGCATCGTGCCGCAATCTATGTACGTGACAGATATCGTCATCCGATCAGCGAATCATTTCCCGCATTCGATAAGATTGTATCCATAAACCTCCAAGTTTCGGTCGTGTTCAGATTTACTAAGCCAATAGGAATGCATGTAGTGGTGACTTTATGCCATCGCCACGAGTTCGTGGACTCAAAGAATAGGCATACCGGCAGTCACGATAGCACAGCCCGGATGTACAATTGACGATAACTTAAAAACGCTTGCGCCTTCAGTACATCATAATTCATATTAAAATATTTTATATTCTATACAACACCAACACAAATTCATTCGCGTCACTGTTTGTTGTGTATGGATGTTGCGTTCTGGAAAAAGAACTGCAGATTCATCAAACGCATTGGCAATCATGACTTTTACAAGGGACCCTAAGCGCATTTTGCTTGAAACCTTCCTGAGTTTGTATCTGTACGGTAGCTAGCAGTGTTTAATAGTTGTAACGTTGAGCGTAGCTGGTCTTATATTGTTTTACGGATATGTGCTGTTTGTTTAATGAAAAAGCTACCTTTGCACTGATATATGTAACATTAAACAGCTGATAATAAATATGTAATTCAGTAATTGTAGTGGTTTTTGCGAGGAAGCGATTAAGTATTGACGTAGCGGAGAAGTGCAACTGCGGCGAGAGCAGTTGCAAGAAGGAAAATTTAGTAACTTCTACCAGAAAGTTGCCCCCTTTTTACAAATCTGCTGACAACAGAGTACATTCTTGCAACAGTAATTTTTCAGCCCAAAAAATTTAAACATTGGCAAATGCATCATTTAAAGTGTGATTCCCTATATCTGACGATGAATTGGTTTGTTTTACTTCTGATTTTTGACGTTCGGTGCAATCTACGCCATAGCTTAGCTTAATAATTTAGTTATACAGTACATAATTAAAATAATTTTATTATACAGTACATAATTAAAATAGGTCTCACTGTCTCGGTGAAAGAAAGATTGAAGGAGCGACTAACAGAAGTACCTAGTAGACTGCGAACAGCTTTATCAGCTCAGTGACACTGACTTCCGGTTTCGAAGACGGGAGCGGCATATATATAGTGTTTTCACTGAATGTTGTTAACCTCATGTTTATGCCGCGTGAGCACACATATGCGTATTTTGTAACTCGTTCTGTTTCCATAAGCTGTGTAAATAACAACACATATGTGTACTTTAGATAACTTTGGTACATAATAAATGGTGGACCACCAATGATGACGAATTTTGAAGTCACATCGATAGAGTTATCAGTAAATCAGGTTAGTTGCTGACGCATCGACACAGGCATCCAAGCGAAAGAAGAAATGTACAGTTACAGCCAACGGCTTTCTCGTCATTCGTATAGTAAGACCGAATTCAAGCAGAACCTAGCGAAATAATCAGCAAAGCTGAGTACGGCAAGCGACAATGGTGCACATTCGCGACCGTATTGCGCAGGATCAAGACAACATCTCGGTGGCTTCACTGCATCTCCCACCACCAAGAAACGACGTGGTACACTGGCGGATTCTCGGTTATGTAAGTCCCTATCAATTTTCACAAGTGTATTGATTAGTACTTAAATAAGTGTTAAGTCAAGTACTTAAATGCATTCTCCCGGTTTCTTTCGACAGGCGCGAAAATTCTCAAATTTTTCCCGATGGGAGAAAGGCATACTGGGTTCGGCTACGTTGTGCCTTGCTGCCAGTATCGCCCTGACCTTCGAGGCACGTTTTGCTAATTCTTTGCTTAACTTTTGCCACGGTCATTGACGTCGGGTTACGATGTTTTTACAGAGGATCCATAATCTTTCTCCTTCGCGGTGTCGCGATAATAGCACGGGACTACTTACTAACGTGTCCAATGATTATCTCGAACATTTGGATAAACAGTGTTCAGCGGAGTATACGTTTGCTTGGTTGACCGTTATCCATTGTTTGTTTTCGCTGTTCTACGTTTGGCACGGTCTGTTTTGGTAAGAATTGCGTGCGCATGCTTAAATTTTTCTTCGAAATTGTAGCGTTAAGCAATCGTTTGTTCTCACTTTCTCTTCAAACGACCAGTTTAAACGCCATGCTAATTAAAACATAACTTCTGTTTGGCATTTTATTCGCTATTCTGTACTCTTCCTATTTCTTTAGTACGTGCTTTATGCTTTTACCCTGCTGTAGTATTACTTACCAGTTAGTAGGTTAAGTTCGCATACAGCCATTGATGGAAATTTGAGGCATTCTAGTGCTTGCAAGCTTTGACATATTAAACTGATCTACTATTGTTATTTTGGTATGAGCGTATAAAAAATTTTATCTCCAGATTTCTTTGTATACTTGTACTGCACTTTCTTACTTTTGTGCAAACGTATTTACTTTATGCAGGGCACGATGGTATGAGCTGATTGTGTTTGGATGTAGCACGGTGCTTCGTTTGGCCTATACTGCGGCAGATTTTCATGAACTGATTAATCACACCCATCCTGCCGATGCCGTACATCAGTACATATTTGCAATCAAACTCGTAAGTTTCTCAGCCCATTGTGTGCCGGAAGTTGAAGGTTTTTTACTGCTTATGTAAAGGCACGGGGGCCTAAAACACGATTTCCACATATATTCCACCAGGATCGACTCTATACCAGTCGGTCCTGGTTCCACTTATGACTATTTGTTTGCACTGATATATCTTTTGAGCTTTCGTTATTAATTTGGAACTCGGTGCCTTTCGTTGCAGACCCGGTTAATTTTGTTGGTGCCCACTGTACTCACAGCCCTCATCGGATGTTTCGTGGCGTACAGCAATCTAAAACTTGGATGGATTATTTGCGAATTTCCGCCTCAAAACTGCGATGAGGTGTGCAATCACTGTGCATTAACTTTTGTGTACAACTCATTCAATACTTGCATATAACGGACATCGTACTCTTAATAGAGAATTCGGGATGATTGTAAGCGGATTTTCTTGACACGCTCGTTGCGTACCTTCAGTACGCAGTTTCAGGTGAGAAAAGCTAATGGATGTCTCTAAACAACAACAATACAGTAACTTCAAATACTAACTACAGGTGACCTTGATTATGCTCATTATGTGCCATCCTGAGGAATTTCATCTAAGTACCCTGGAGTGGGTAATTGTGGCGTTCGGCATCGTTTTTGTGCTTGGCTGGTTCTTTGCTGTTACTTTCAGCGTACGTATAATTCTGTACTAACACTCTAAGAGCCCCGATTGTATGGTCACGGTAGGAATTGTAATATTTGCAACACCTTTGACTCACTGCGTCAATTGTCGCAAAGGTGAATCATGTTCGCGTATTTATTTAAACAAGTATTTGTACTGAAACAAAGTTCGTTTGGCTTTATGAAAATTTTGCGGACTGGTTTTAGCTGATGTGGCAGGACAAGTACTTGGCTGGCGTTGCGTCTGGCAGTGTCTTGGCTGAATTCTTCTATATCTGCTACAAGTTCTACGACTCCGACACAGCGCTTAGAACCGATAATGGATATTTCAGCACACGTTCGTTACATATTGCCGTTTTTGCTATTGGAGGTGCTGCTATGGCTGCTCGCTTAGTGACAACTGGATGTTTGTACTGGACAGCCAGCAGAACGTTCGGGAATGGCCTTCCCTGGCATAAGAAAGGTGACTGGCATTTTAATCTTAAACCGATTGTTTATGAATGTATTTTTGTGTAACAGTAACGATTCTGTTGTAGTGTATCCTGGTTCTGGTTCTTGTGATAACGAGGTTGAGGATGGGAAGCCACATAATAGCCAGGGAATACCTCCGGTCGATCGTGATACTTCGCTGCCCATAAACGATTGCCGCAATTCTGGAGCTTTCCCAAACTATGGCGCCACAATTCCATATGGTCGAATAAATTAACCGAGGCCTAGCACATACTAAGCACGTAACTTAACTATTGAGGCATACGGTCCTTGAACTCTTGTAGACGATTATGTGGATGAAAAGCTGTTCGGATGCTCTTTAATGCAACTAAACTCTAAGCATACTGCACTAACCTATCGACGTACACACCTACGATAAACTGCGAATATCTGTTTACTTATTTTAATTGATGGTGTATGTAAAAAGGTGACTTTTCCACTTTCCGTCACCAAGTTCGCAGTTTTAGCTACTCCTACAAATGTATGGCAGGCTCCAGAAATGTAGATAATTATCAAAGAAGCTCTCGTCCACTCCCCACAGAGGGGATAAAGCGGACTGACTGTCTAGCAGTTAAAGTCGAGTAAACTCGATTTTGCAGTGCATACTCCACCGGAAACTGCGGATTAAGTAGTTAAATTTTCAGGTTGTAACTTCTACCTAAGTACGGATTCAGAGTAAATGTTACACGCCTCTGACTTCATTCACGCCGCTTTTAGCTTGCGTAGATATGGACATTACAATAAAACTTACATTACATTCAAAAGTTATCTTACTGGCGTGCCATTTTTAACGGATTGGCTGAACTAAAAGCAGTCTTTCCAATCGACTTCCAGTTATTAGGCATAAACGTAAAGGAATTCATTCCAACAGCGAGTCAATCGTTAAGTGTCAGTGTAATACGATAAATACGGCAACACTGAACATTGACTCTACAATGATTTTCACGATGTCTAAGGAAGCACTTCAATAATCATTATAACTGCAGTGAATAATACACAGGTGTACAAGAGGTAGAAGAGCGGATTAACGGTCCATGGAATCCGATATGTTAACTTTCCTTATCGTCCACTGCATCCAGTCCCAGTGCCGCTTGATGTTTCCGGGCCTTCAGTCGTAAATCAACAATACTGGAGCTCTTGGTTACAAGCTGTGCAGCGGAGAAGGGGTGGAAGAGATACGGCAGATGGAAGGGGTTGGCGCCGGCAAAAGGTGACAGGAAGGGTGGGAGGAAACCGTGCGCTGCCGCTGACGCTAGGTTGGCGGGCCGTGGGATCTGCTGCTGCAGCATGGGGAAGCAGGATGCCGGGCTGCCGCTGCCGGATCGATAGGGCAGGGGCGGGGCGTTGAGGATGATGCTGCGGTGCAGTTGGGATTCCTGTTTGCGGGATTTCGCGCGCCGATTTTGAAACCACACCTGTACAATGCCGTTCGGTAAATTGGCAGATCGATGTGACAATTCAACGACCTTAAAACCGATCAGTACCATGAAAAAATGATTTCTTGTTAGGCGATGTTCTTGCACAGCAAAGTCTGTCATTATTGACAGACTACCGCAGAGCACCGCATAATTAAATGATTTGCATCAGTTATTTCTGCGACGTTCGTAAGCTTAAAATTACAAAAATGGTTACTAATTTTAAAACATTTAAAAAAGTTTTATAAATATAGGACGCGCAATAAAACCGTTTGAAAAATAAAGATGCCAGCACCGCTGTTAGCCGGCTACGGCTTTTTTTAGCGTCAAAAAGTTCGCCGTTAATGCAAGCACAAGAAATCAGAAAATGACATTTACTTTCACTCTTTCACAAAGGCAGAGTAAAACTAAAAAGCTAAATGAGGTAGTGCAACTGTAAATAAATTGCATAGGTAAACAGGTACCGCCTGTTTATTATTAGCCGGTAAACCGCTTGCTTATGACGTTGCGATTGCACGCAACAATTGTAATGCGTAGTTCCAGTGTAACACAGAAGCACAGAAAATACTACCAGCTGGTGTCGGGAAACTTTTAATTAAAGGGCATAGTAGATACTTCTTTAATAGAATTAAACAGTTGCATCATCTACAATCTTCAAATTAATCAATCTATATAAAAATCTCAAAGGATCTATAAGTTTTTCACCCTTTTGATCGGAACCAGCGCTTTAAGATGCTGTCGGGTATCATAATACAAAATTACGGTGTTTTCACCGCTTGATATATAAAATGCATGTATCAAAATAGCAGTTAAAATAAGCAATTTATCGTATTGCTCTCTTCTAGCAATTTTACAACTAAGCATCAGAGTTGAGCAAGTCAAACCTTTTAATTATGACGTACAAATAATAATATAATGTGTATCTGTCTACGGGATAAAATTGCCGACACGATACGTATACGTATTATTGAGTCAAAGGCTAAACAAAAGATGTACTCGTACACTCAAAACTGAAGTTAATCAGTGCTTCAATAACTTCATGGCCCATGCACTTGTCTCGGGACAATGGCCCGATCCCTATTGTTTGTCACTTCAGCTGTTAACGTCCAACTGACACACGCAGATGCCAAATGCTGCCACAGTGTCCTATTGATAACCACTGCCACTATATTTGAGGGATCAAATACTTTACAGTGTATGCCGTGTTTGTAAAGTAAATTAATTTGTAACAACAATAAATTTCAACTCAAAAAATTAGATACATTTTAAAACTTTTTGGCAAAATGTTCAGCGCTGATGTATTAGTATCAGGTGAGTAGTACATACGCACCTGCACACGTGCTTCACTTAATCCCAGTTTTTGGCTGATATTCTCGCGCATAAACGCATCCGGATAATGCGTCTCATCAAACAGTCGCTCCAACGCCTGCAACTGTTCCAGCGTGAAATTCGTCCGTGTCCGGCGCTGTTTCAACCGCAGTGGCTCCGAATCCGAACATTCATCCACGTCAACCGACGGCTCACGCGACGCCGCAACCGGCGACATCCGCTTGTCACCATTGTCACCTGCATCACTACTGATGACAATGTCGTTCTGCGGTTGAAAAAGGACACCTTTGGCTTTTTTCCCATTATCCGCCATGGCGCTTATGATAACATAGGCTGATAATATCCCGCTGTATTGTACAATATTGGCCCACTATACTGAAGCGTCGTTGATGGGCATCGAACAACAACTGAACACAGTCCCAGCGGGATACGCGCGTTGACTGTATACACTGTCTTGCATCGGCCCGTCATGTTCCCCTCGTTCTCTCCGCAGCCAGAAAGAATAATCCATTCAATCAAGACAGATTAAACAATAAACGTCCCTGAATGCTCTCAACATTACTGAATGAAAATTAGACAAATACACTAATTAGATTAGTTAGGCCTGCGCTGCAATCAATTTATCCCTCTATCGGATGGACAAACTTTTCAATTTGCGGGATTGCCAGTGATTTGGGCGACTGTATTTATATATGTGTGTATGTTGTTTAGGGGTGCAGTCGCTGAGTTGATGGCGTTAAGTAATTTTATTAAATCACATTGGCTGGCTGCGTCCCTGTTGTCAAGATGATTAGCCATTTAGCCTTTAGGCGTAGCGACGTTAATCAACATTCAATCGACTGCACTGGTCATGGCGCCATTGCACTGTGCGCCTCGTGCAACCTAAACCAAACTATACATCATAGTAAGTGAATTATCGAATTATCTGCGCTGGCTTTTATTCTTATTCCCTTTAAGGCTAAGTACGACCAAATGAATTGCCCTCTTATACAAACTCAATCAGGACATTCTCTATTGATTACAAATACTAAATCCCATTCTGCCACGCGTTTTATGTACTGCATATATACGCTATTCAGGCGAGCATACTAACTGCGCTGCTTCCTACCGTAAAAGTATCTATGGTACAGCTTCGCCAGTTTGATTGCTCTGTTTTTGGAAGACAGAATAATATTATGATACGCGGCAAATGTTTTGCTACAGAATAAAATATGGAATATAACAGACATTTGGAAGTAAAAATATGCCCTGAAAAATAAATTCATTGTTTTGTACATTCTATATTATAAATACTGTGCCATTAATTCTCGACCAATATATTATCGGCAGAACAAAGCAGAATAATGTCACTGAAATTAATAACCGCGCACCTAATTATTACGATTACATGAAAACTGAAATACACAGACGTATCTGTGGCCTACAGATACAGTACGAGTACGGTACAAGCACAGTGCATGTCCGCAATGGTTTCAGTTTATCAGACTCCAAAATAATATTTTCAGCTCGATGCTTTCGCACTGAAAACGCCTCGTCAAGAGATTTACGAATTATGTGCCGGAAATTTATTTTACTATGAGCTTATAACGCGCGTTACGCGTATACTAAAGGTTTTTCATCAAAGCTTCATGTATGTGTACTCTTATGCCATGTTTTTCGGATTACACTTGCTCACCTATATATAATGCTTAACTACGCAGTTGTAAAAACTGTGGTTCTTCGAATTCGGGTCGAATGCAGGAAAGTTGCGTAAAGGTAGTTCGCTCTGTGGTGTTGTATTGCCAAATTAGTTTTATGAAGCAACCACCACAAAAATTATGCCAGGTGCAGTTAGTTATATCACTAGCCGCACCGATTTCGTGTTACTCTTAATTTTCTCAGTAAATGCAAACCAGCCGTGGTATCACTGATACCGACTACGACACCTGCGGAAACAGTTTCTGAGCGGCAATTACGGCTTACATACTATGGACAATAAATCATTCCGCACCGAAGCGGTACCGAACTGGTTCGAAACGATTCCGGCAACATTAGAAGCTGATTTCTCACAAAACCGGCAAAATTTAGGAAATGGCATTCTTTCTCTATGGTACAACCTCGCTTGAAGGGGCGGAATCTCCGGGATAAATACAATCATAACTGACATTTCTTTTATGCTCACTTTGTCATTACTCAGCACAACTGACGACGTATAAAAACCTGTGACATATTTTAGATATTCAGAAAATTTCTCTGTCGGAGTGTTAGTAAACGTAGTCCTGTTTCTGTTTTTTGCGGAAAATGGACAATTTGCTGCAACATTTGGGTAAATTTCGCAGTGTTCCCGCAGTTGTCGGAGTATGCTTGCTTTTAATCCTTTTATCTGCGCCCACGAGATCGGAAAACCATAATATCAAAATCATCAATAAAATCGAAAATCCACTCTCTAGCGACACCAAAACCTTCGGAAACATCAGCAATTTGCGTACGTATATCGTTTACATTTGATGCGAAACATTCCCTTGTCTGTATTATTCATTAACTATTCATTTCATATAAATTGGTTAGGCTTTATTACTGCCTTGTTAAAATTCGATATTAAATAATAATTTTATCGATTCACGTAATAAAATATAAGAAATATCGTTGCATTGTATATAATTGTACTGTTTAAATCTACTATATTTTATAATTTATGGATTCACATAGTAAATAAGAAATACCGTTGCATTGTACGAGTATATGATAGGCTTTAGATATGCAAGGAACTATTTCAATTTAAACGTACAGAACATACGAAACCGTCTGCTCAACTATACACAAACCAAAAACACATCATCGAGATCAAGCTGCTTCTCAACAGTTCCTAACACACAAGCAGCATTACCGCGCTGAATTTCTATGCTAAAACGTTGTAACAGAAAATGCTTTGCGCGGATTTCACCGGTCTGCTCCCTGGTGCGTCTGTATATGATTGTACTGCTTACATTTATTGTATTTTATAATTTTAAAAATTTATTATACAGAGTACGAATATTTTGTTAATTTATTATCTCTTGTTTTAGAGTTGGACGAGACGCTGGAGGCAACACTGAGTTTCTGTCCCAATGTATCCCTCTTTCAAATGATTAATCTTAGCCAGAGTCACGACAATGAGGAATTATCTTATGGTTCCATTAATTACAACGTTTCCCGGAATCTTTGGGAGCAGTATATGAAAATTCGTCATCTACGCGGAGATAAAGGAATTATGTTTAATCTGCGCATGGATTCAGAGATGCAGGATTTTGGTCAATTCCTTGAACTGAAACCTTACGTCGGTGTATATCTGGTTACACTTGAGCTCACCAATCTCACGGTTACCGAGATACAAGACGCGCTGACCTTTGCATGGGCACCCAGTTTCGGTAAGACTTTAAAGCAGCCGTAATCGAGAACATATCTGTTTTTGTATGTTCACAAAAGACCTTTTTGGAAAGAAATTTTTCTGATGGTAAACTGGTAAACATAACTGGTAAACGTAAAACTTTAAATAAAAAATGTTTTTGAAACATTCTTGGACATTTGCGAGATAAAACACGATGAGATATTTAATAAACGTAAATGTGAGTTGTGCAATTTTAAGATATAAGTTATGTAAAGGCCTTTGGTGGATTTCAGAGAGCAGCAACTGGACAGCGACTCACGTTGAAATCTTGCAAATACAAAATGGAAGCGACGATATTACGTACTATTCTGCAAGCGGGTAAAACTTATAAGTCCTCACAACGATGATATTTGTCTGAGTTTTCTCATAGCCAAAAATCTGCAGGTCGCCACTGACGCAAATTCTGTATATGGTTCCCATATCAGACAGTGTTATTCCAATGAATCTTTCAAGCGATTTCTCGCACTACCCATGGCGTTTTGCCCGTAATTCCTCCTATCATGAATTACCCAAAATAATTACGCCGTCGATAACAGACTTCGTTCAACGTTTGCGGAGTAAGGGACTCATTGCGCATCAGGGTCCCGTGTTTCATGGAACTGTCAATTCTGGTCGAGGAGATTTTTATCTGAGCACCAATTCCACTTCCGGTTCATTTAATACGGATCGGTTGAAAGCCGATTTACTGGAGCTGGTGCAACAAGAGCGGATAAAGCAAGGCTGCGGCGGTGCCGACATGAGTGATGTGCAGATAAATTTTAGTCCATTCGTGCCGCGGATAGCGCCCATGAGAAAAAACGGCACTTTTTCAGAGTAAGGCAATCAAATTCAGTTAACAAATGATTTTGCAATTTTGTTTATTGGGAACAGGATAAAGGTCCTGCCTCTGAACTTCCAGTTAATGATACAGAAAAAAGCCCACGTTCACGGTGGAATTAATTTAGTGCCGCTGTCAAACCATACCGATCGGTATTACGCACGTTTACGCGTGCCAGGCGATGAGGATTTTATTCCGTCTTACGTCCGCCACCTGGAAGACCGCCCAATGGACCCGGTTTATTCGTTTCGCATGTACCTCAGTCCCTCAATGAATGTGCAGCTGTTGCCCGAGCTGGAAAGTTTGATGAGAGCACGTCTAAATAAGGATTTACGTAGGCTTTCTTCTTTTCTTTTCCTTTCTTCTTTCCTTGTTTTATGGCTTTTCATTCTGGTACAAAACCGGTTAGCTATTATGGTAAAACTGTTTCCTTTAAAGGTCATGATCAGTACGCGTCAGTGCGCCTATGGAACTTCGATCCTGACGGTTGGGTTGTTAGCTTTTTTGTAACCATTTACAAACTTGGTTGGCGTCTGGACCTGGATGGCAGATTGCCCTACGCAAAAAGCATCTACCGCAAACTGGATGGTCTGCAGCTGACTTCGACGGCAACGAAAGCGGTCTACACATTAACGAATGTCCCTCTTCCCAGTCTTTTTAAAGAAACCATGAAAACATTGACCATGCAAGATCTCGAGGCCGAACAGGATGTGTATTTAACAGAAGGGTCGTCGGCTCCTTTAAAAAAGACATTCACGTTATACGTTCAGTCGGCGCTGCCATGGCGATCCCGCATTCATCCACTGGTCAACGGATGGAAAGCTAACTTGTTGGTGCGTATTTGATGTCGCCATGAAACGCTGCCCTTGGTTTGGCTGCCGTAACACGACTAGATTTTTCAAGCGACCACCGAAGACTACCACGGTTTATCGTCATTTAAAACGCCTTTTTTGATAGAACTCCGATCGCATTCTGGAGGCTGTCCAGCAGGCGTTTGCTGAAGCTAATCCCGTCACCATTGATGACATAACTTTGACAATAACGTTAACAGAGCGGGATAACGGCTTGAGAACAGTTACTGATGAGTAAGTGCGCGGTCATTTTTACTACAGCTGTCGTGAAAGAAGGTACAGCAATCCACACGCCGTATAAGGATCTAATATTAAAAAATGCAGCTCAGGGATATCTAAGTTCCTATTCTGTGCTCCGGTATTAAAATCCCTCGGTTTCTACTCGTACAGTATTGTCTAGGTTTTTAATTCTATTCTGTACAGTGCCAAAATATAATTGTTAGGATGTTAGCACAACGTTTCAGCTTCGCCCACACTACCATATTTTACTTTCTAGCGAAGAGGTCTCCAAATTTTACTTCGCGCTATCGTATCCTAAGATGAAATACTGGAGGATGTGGCGCTATCCAACAGTTGACCAGTTGAACAAGTTCCTGATTAGCGTCGCTAAGGCTCGAGTCGTGGAATCCTGGACCATGCCCCTCTCAAATACAGCTTCTAACTGATGACGAACATTAAGAAATATCTAATTTGTATTTTTTTCCACCTGGAAATATTAGTTTTGGTCTATGGCTGTTTTTCCGCAGTATTTTAGTTATTTGAATACCCTGTTGGCCGTGGCTATCTGTATTCTGCCAATTGCCACATGCTGACTCAGAATACTTACCTTTTCCAGTTTTGGTACACTTGCGCATTCTGTATTGTGCAACTCTAGCCCAAGTATAATCGATGGGAACATAAGATAAAACGTCCCACATTTCATTCTTTGGCGATAAATTGGTTAAGCATTGTGACTAAAGAGGGAACGATAATAAATTATTATGTAGGTACTGCACAGTACTTCTCGCTAGCTCACGCCTTCTCTGACTGAACTAACGACTACTCAAAATTATATTATTTATAGACAAAATCTGATAACGGGGCTACGCCACAGTACCACGTACGGTACTCTTACATTTTGAAGGAACAATACCTAGTCCACGTGTGCGTGTAGCCACCTGCATCTGCAAACTAATGAAGGAGAACTGATGGATGTCGAATCTACTCTTTGTGCCCCACCGCAGTGTCAATTAGCAAATACAGAAAAGATCATTACGGATGAAAAACCAATACAAAAAAGTGTATCACCTTTACATGACAGACAAGTGATTCGGCAACGGTTTTTTTTAAAATCTGCACAAAGCACCATGTACACGATTGTCTGTTTATAGGACATAAAGACTAGCTCAAATATAATTATAATAATATAGGACATAAATTCTGGAGCGTCTTGCTGAACATTCCGGAAGTACCGTAAAAACGCAACTGGAAAGTTGGACAAGCGCGCGGATAAAAACCAAACGGCTTCTCTAGTGGCAAATGATTATGACCATTGGTCCATTATAAAAGCACTCACGAGTAAGTAAAGCTTGCAATAAAATCAAAATAAGAATTTTCAAAACTCCAGAATGAGTTTAACAAGCACGAACATAATACGCTACAGTGTAATACGGTGGCATGTTATTATGTGGCACATTACCGCCCGCGAAAGCGGTTTCAGCCGGATTGTCTTTAAGCACATTGGCATCGCCGAACGTTGCAATATACGATGGGAGAAAACTCTTTCCCGACCTTGACCCAACGGCTACAGCGTGATTATGTGTCGGCATCTCTTCTACGGTCAGCTGGTGCTTAGCCTCTCCTCCCGAACTACCCAACGGATACGTCCCATTCTGGTAGCCTAACAAAAAGCGTCCCCGTAGATCCGGCGTTCGGTGATCGGCAAATACGGATGCCAGTTGCGGATACGGTGATGCATTGAATTTCTCTCCGTCACATGGGATCCAACACGGTGGTCCAGCGACACCCACTAGGAACGCCTGGATGGAACCAATGGGCGGCATTGTTGCTTGCATTCGCTCTACAAGGTCTTCGTACTGACGCTGCGGCACGATAGTATCCGGTTCGTCTCTGTTGTCGGCGTATACGACGTAATCCGTATTGAAGCTGCTAATGTCTATGAAGAACTTGCGAAATTCGACTTGATCGCGCAGTTTCTCCAAGTCCAGGCAGACCATCTGAATTGGTGTAATGACCAGTTTCTGACCATCCCATTGCACGGTGCTGTTGGGAGATTTCAGCTCGGCTAACGCGCTTAGCAGTGACGGGGAACGGGCGCTGTCCACATCGGCGGAAATGTTGTCACCTCGCATCACTCGCTCGAACCATTTATTCCCGTCGCTAAACAGGGAACGGAAATCTTTGAGTTTCTGATCGGGACGTTGTTTGTGTGACGGCCAGAACGTCGCCTGTGGAGAACAATAAAAAAATTAACCGCGAATTAAAAACATTTAGTTAAAAAGTAGTAAAAATTAAATAATCAAGGAAGATAAATTGACATTCATTTCATTAATAGATAAAAAATGTGTTATCAGAATTAAAACTGCGAGGAATAGTTAGCAGCATCTATCAGCAAATTACCTGCCACATAGCATCGGAGAATTCGCCGGAAGACGTCACATTGTGGCGGAGAATGGGGACCAGTCTCATCATCAGGTTAACTCGCTGTTCGTCGCTCACATACTCGGCAGATTCCAAGACTGAATTAATGCTGTCAGTCACAATTTCTTGCACTAATGTGTAATAGTCCTGCATCTCCACGAAGACGTATCTGCTAGCGTTTAACTGGCCACTGATCGCGTCGTACATCAGGGAATTCGTTAAATGGGCGTTGATCACACTGATTTCCGCTTTCCGCACAGTTCTCCAAGGTGACTGAAGAAAGTACAGCTCAACATGGAAGGACAATCCGGGGATCTTCCGACGAATGGTCTTCCGGATCTGGTCGCACTGATCGAACCGGACGCAGCGAATGTCAAGGGACATAACTTGACGGTCGTCTAGGCAGAGCTGCCATCGGGTCCGCATCTTAAAACTCCCGTCGCCGGTGTAGTAATGGACTTGCAACCAGTGGAAGGGGATCGGCAGAACCTGGCTCCTGGCGTTCCCGGTTACGCTGCGGACAAAATTCGTCATCTGCTGGTGATAGTCATTGTCCCGCAGTCGCAACTTGACGTTGACGAAGTAGAGATCGTTGGCTGGGCTGCGGAATAGTTCGGCGGTGTTGGTCAGCAGTGTAGCTGTGGGCGGATAATAGAACCGGGATACTTGCAGGAACATTGGGGCGGGGGAGGCATAAATTGAGGGAAAAGAGAGATAGGGTGTTGGTGGTGGTCCTGTGACAGGCGGCGGTTGGATGGGTTCGAAGATGTTGATCAGACGTCCGCGGTATGGTACTACAAGTGCCGGGGACGAAAGATCCACAGTTTCTGCGAAGAATTTTATATCGAAACTGTTTGATTCATGCTTATGCAATTTCTTGAATATCCCAAGAACCGATGACCTTTATCACATTTATTATTTTAATGCTGATTGCTTTTTTATCTATAGGTTTATAGATGGATAAGATGCAGAAAGATCGTAAACAACTAACTTTAACGGGATAACGTAAAATACTGTCATTTTCCTTGCAGTTTGAACCAAAATCAATAAGCAAAGAAGTAAAGTCGAGTGTAGCAGCTTTATGTAAAATCGAAAAACATTAACCTTAAAAATCTGGCCCTTAAAGCGATTATACGTAATTCTCATACATAAAGACAGCGCAAGATCCTACAAGGTCTTGTAATAATGGTCATACCTCCACCGAAGATGGCGACTGGAAGAAGTATCAGGAAGAAGTATCAGGAAGACAATCTGGACCGACATTTTGCACTGGCTGATCAAATAATAAAATAGAGTCAATTCTAGTACGGATTCACCACAATAATAAGTTCTCGCGTCGTGCAGAAAACAAACTGCTTATTAAATGCCACACTACTGACTATTGAGCGACTGACTGCGGCAAAACAGCACACTGTTTAGAATTTACAGTGAAAATGTGAAATCCGGTTGCTGTTGCGGCACATACTGCTAAAGTCGGGCCCGAAGGCGGACTCTGCTGTTGACTAAAAGCGATAGTGATTTCGGATCAACTTGGTCAATACCGTTCTCTAGAGTAGTGTCTGTCTTGCATTACTTACAGTATGGTCCAAGCAGGTGCAGTCAAGAGCGTAATCATCTTTGCACGGTTCGCTGGACTAACGCAAAATTGTAATCCATCTTGTTCTTTGCCAATCGCAAAATGCTTCGGATAAGATTTTACAGATGTACAGAAGGTGACCTTTTAAAAGAAATTCCATTTCCTTAAACATTGTACACTTTACAGATTTTTTCGTTACTTTAACGTGCAAGTAATTTCGTTACCGTGCGTTATTGTTTATTTTCGTGAAAAATGAAGCAGCTGGTGAAAATGAAGTCGGTAATAAATAACATCCAACAGTGTATGATAACGTAAACAAATATTATATTTCTTGCAAAAACGGCGGTTCTTTCATCCTTTCTACTTGGCGCAGTACTATGGCTTTTGATAATATGCAAATACTTGGTAGAGAGATTGTACGCGCTTAAATATACTCGTAGTACTTTGTATATGATCCACGCTTATGATTTACGATCTCCACACCACGGCGCTCCACGCCACATTGTTCACGAGTTACATGAAATGGGCATGGCTGTTGCATGTTAAATGTTAATACCTACATATCCCATTTATTTGTTTTTTTTTGTTGTTAATGTACTTCAGAAGTGGAATAAATATTGCAGGCTGCAATAAGATTATGGTCGCAATAACTGCAGTAGTACAGTTCTAACGCCAATATCTAGGCACATCTGTGTCAACTACCAGTGCCCGTAAACCCTCAACAAGCTTGTATGCTAGGCTGCGAGTTGTGTTTACTTTGAAAAGCATTTTATTTTCAACAATGAGTAAACAGCAAAGTTTTCTACGTTGGAGGTATCAAGCCCGGTAAAACATAGGAAAGGTCTTAGGAACGCATCCCGTCAGCAAGCATTGCAAAAAGTTTTGATAACAGCTACAAATATGAAGTACTGCGTAATGTATTTAGAAAAGCTTGGCAATCGTCTGATTTTCCGTAGATGTGTTGCCGACAATAAACCAACCGGGAAACTGCAGTAACTTGCTGGTACCATTGGAAAGCGCTTAAAATTGTCGCCCAGTTTTTGTATTGACATAGAACCAACCATTCCAGCGGCAATTCCCTACTGTCGGAAGCGGGTTCGTATTGCAGCCTTTGGGTGGCGGTGGTTGGGTGCGGGGGTTCGATCCGTGCTGAGCATTTCCGGGAGACTGGCCGCGTCGTCGCACTCTCAGCAGAGGCACAGGCTTGTTTGCTGCCTCAGCGCGGACGCCGACATCGGGATGATCAAGGATACTGTCGGCAAAAATTCCCGCAATGCACTATTAGGAAAACAGAAAGGTCATGTCGTTGGATAACCAGAGAAAACTTTTGACTTACCGCGCATACGATCAAGAAGCGAAAGGAAGGCATTGCGCAGAACGGGGCTGACAATGGAACTGGTATGTTAGCAGCTTTTGGAATGTTCAGGAATTTGCTTATTGAAAACAGGAGAAGTATAACTTCAGTGTTTCTGCGCTCGGCTTATATATGCTTGATTGAAATGTCTGTGGACACAGGCAACCAGCCGTAGCACTTCAGAAGAGGCGACAGGAAGCCGGCAAAATGCCGCGTGGCATTTTTCGCACTGCAGTTTTTGGTGAAAACGACTGCTTGGATGGTGGAAAAATTGCAGTGCTGCTGGAATCATAAGCGCAAATGTTCCGACACGATAACCAGTACTTGTTGCTTTGAGCAGCATCGAGAATTTTAAACGTGAATTCTTCGGAAACTTGTCCG